CATTTCAAGATTAATTCAGGAGCCTTTTATATTGCATCTAGCACCTTACAAATGGCATATGGAATTTTTTTTAAGATGCCATTCGATAGCCCTCACAAAGAGCAATAAAAAGAGCCTAAACGGGCGGACGGACGGACAGACAGACAGACGGACATGGCAAGCACAATAGTGAATTTTTTCCTTCCATAAATAAGAAAATGTGCTAAAAACGCTCAAAACTGTCCCTTTTTACCCCATTTGATGGTATATACTAAGTTTCATGTGCTGCTTGTGTTGTGTACACATTGTCAAACAAACGTTGGAAACTTTTGACTTCGACTTAGGACTACCATCCCCCTTACCGCCCTCTTCTTCCTTACGCCCCCAACATTTTTCCACGGCCCCTAGGGTGGCAATATTGCCCACTTAAGGAACCACTATTTAAACCAATTTCTTATGTATGATAATGCTGGTATCCAGGATACTCTACTGGTTTACTTATAGGACTCAAAAATGAACTTGAGGGAGAGTCTAAAAAACTCTCTGCTTTGCCACTATGCTTTACTTGTCTACTTATAGGACTCAAAAATGAACTTGAGGGAGAGTCTAAAAAACTCTGCTTTGCCAATATGCAGTATGCAGTCACGTCAGAGTCAGACAGTCAGAGCAGTCAGAGCAGTCAGACCGCATTATCACTTGTTCAGTTGCTGCTCAAGTGAAACAAATGTTAGTGACTGTTTTAGGGTGCAATTAGAAATATGTGGTAACATGTGCATGGGACTTTGTAAATAACAAGTTTGAGGCTCATAAATGGCTTTTCACGGCCAAGATATGGAATTCACAGCTCAAAGAAATGGAATCACGGCTCCAAACCCATTAAACCACGGCTCAAAAATCCAGTACTGTAAACTGGGGTAACTTAGACCACTTTTTTTTTTAAATGATGCCATTTTTTAACTAGATAAGTTAAACTTAAATTGAAACATGCAAAATACAGGTCTATACTCTAGCTTCACTCACCATAAATTGCTGGCTCCTGCCTTTCATAGTTTTGATGTAATTTAAAAAAAATCGATGGTCTTTTTTACCCCAGCTCTGGGGGTATCTTGGACTGTTTGGTAAAATCAATTAGTATATTTTTTGGTAAAGTAACTCCAAATAACTCCAGGTTTTGTTGCATTGTAGTAGAACTCTCCTAGTTACATATGCAAATGACAAATTTGAGGAAAATTTAATAGTTTGCAAATGGGGGGTCCCGCCCCCCAGGTGGTCCAAGTTCCCCCGAACAGGGGAACTTTGACCACCTAATGGCAGCCCTGACAGGGTTAACATAGACCGGCTTGGAAATCAAGTTAAAATTACCATATATAAGACTCTGTAGAAAACATGAAATGTTATATATGGTAATTTTAAATTAATTTCCAAGCTGGTCTATGTTACCCTGTCAGGGCTGACATTAGGTGGTCTAAGTTCCCCCATTGGGGGGCGGCGCCCCCCATTTGCAAACTACGAGACTTTCCTAAAATTTGTTTGTTGCATAACATATGTAACTAGAAGAGTTGTACTACAATGCATCAAAACCTGGAGTTATTTTGCCAAAAAATAAAAAAATTGGAGGGGGTACTCCGACAGGCTTTAAATAATGACTTTTTTTCGTGGGTCACATTTTTAGTTTTTTAACCTATTAGATATGCAAACTTTTTAAATCTTTCTATTGTGTTATCTGTTATGTAGCCTCGCTGCCTCAGTATTAGGCCTTTAATGCCCATTGACAGAATTTTTCTATGTCAAATAGTTTTTGAGTTTTGGGGGTTTTTGTTAAAAAAACAAAAAGTGGTCTAAGTTACCCCGGGAGTCTAAGTTACCCCAGTTTACGGTAGTGGCTTGCCAAGTGGCAAGTAGATATATTCCATGCCTGACTGCCAACATAACAATTCAATAATCTTTATTAACTTCTGGAGTCAGGACCAGGAGTTCACTAACTTCACTCAGACCTCAGTTCAGAAACCTATTGTCTAACTAAACAGTCTAAGTAGAAAATTAGGCTGAAGCCACCTGTGAATTTGAAAAAAAAGGACTGTGAATTTGGCCAATTTTACCAGCTGCAGCTGCTTTGTCTTGTAAAAGGTAAGAAACCTGCCTATATTCTCTCGCGTTTCCCAAAAATAACATTGGAAATTACTGTTTTATGCTGCAATTTCAGAAAAAGTTTGCCCAATATTCCAAATTTGCTTAATTGTAAAAAATAAGGTGGCAACCTTGGCTGAATGGCTAGGTGGCAATTTGGCAAAAGGCAACTCAAGTGTCAGTCCACAGCACACTCACTCTTACTGCTCTGAGATTTAGTCTGAGAGTACAGTACAACTGTTGAACTGTACACCATACAGAAACAAGTTGAGTGCATCGGGTAAAATTTCCATCTTTCTTCAACATACCTACCTATCAAAATTCACAAGCTACAACCAGCAATACTCGATTACCAGTACGGTAACCACTTTACCACCAATATACACAGTCTAAGTCTAACACAGAAAACAAGATAATTTAAAGTTGTCAATTGAATCGATTTTCCAACTGCAACAAGTTAGAAGCAGGAATGCAATCCTAACCTCGATAATACGTACGCTGGTATGTCTGCATTCAGTTTGCCTTCGCGAACCGTATTTGAAAAAGTTGGTCAAAACCCTGCAATAAGAACCATTCAGCCAATAAAAACCAAGCAAGAATAGACTAATTTAATACTTGAATCACAATTCGCAAAATTATGAACTTTTTTATCTTGTTTACTAATGAATCTTGCTCCTAGTTCAATAATGACAAAGGAAATTTAATGGGGAAGAGGTTAGAATGACTCCATTTGAGTGATAATCACAAGTTGTGAGACAGAAATTTTTTATTGAAAGTGAAACGGCACTTATGGACGCTTCACAAAAATACCACATTGGTTTGAGCAAATTATCATACAACCAGAGTACATTACTTCAGAATTTAGATTGAAGAAACCACAAACAAATGCGCTCAATTTTTTTAGCGGCGCCGTCAGTAGGTACATTCAGAAAACTTTTAGTTAGTTCTCAAAGAAAACCAATATCTTGGGAGTACACAATTATTTTATAAGATTGCATTGAAATTTATCAATTACAAAAGTTGAAAAATAGCGTATTTTTTAATGTACTCTGGAAATTCATACAATTACAAAAAGATACAGAATTCACAAATTTTTAATTTTTACGATAATATTTTTTCGCAAAATTATGAACGATATCAGCGGACATGAACAACTGTAATAACTGCGCCCGCAATCGAATCTACACGGCAGAGCACTTCCGATTCTCAACTGTGGCACTCATAACTCCTTCAATTATGAACGGATTTTATTCAAATTTGAAATATAAGTAGATAATATCAGTACGCTGCGGAGGGTATTTTTTTCAATTTTTTCCATCAATAATTTTCTTTTTAATACGGAAAACCTAACTTAATTTTCAACTGTGGCACGCATAACTCCGTCAATAATGGACGGATTTTCTTCAAATTAAGTCAGGTCAAGTTTCAGTATTTTGTGGCATTAACAAAAAGTAATTGACGTAAAAATCTGAAAAAATACCCTCCGCAGCGTACTGATATTATCTACTTATATTTTGAATTTGAAGAAAATCCGTCCATTATTGACTGAGTTATGCGTGCCACAGTTGAAAATTAAGTTAGGTTTTCCGTATTAAAAAAAAATTAGTGATGAAAAAATTTGAAAAAAATACCCTCCGCAGCGTACTGATATTATCTACTTATATTTCAAATTTGAAGAAAATCCGTCCATTATTGACGGAGTTATGCGTGCCACAGTTGAAAATTAAGTTAGGTTTTCCATTCGAGCTCGCAGGCGAGTTCGCACGCGAGTTCGCTGAAGTGTCGGACCGGTCAGAGCACTATCCTTTCTTTGGCACCAAATCATTCACAGTCCTAAAATTTTCAACAATAACACCAGCTATTCTTTTTCTGATTACCTACTTAGTCGAGCTCAAAATTAGAACATAAAAATGTACAGTTATTATTCTTCTCTGTAATCATCCGATCCTAACAGTTGCAAAAGTTGAATATATTTTGCCACATTTTGCTCATTAACATAATTGAACATAATTAAACGATACCTACCGCATATGAACTCGGGTCTCCTAACAGGTGGCGAAAATAGTGATGCTCGTCTGGCGCATGCCGCCGGTAAGCAGGATGATAAGCTGATACGACCTATGATATGTATGTGTTCTGTGTACTGATTTATGTAACGTTGGCAGGTATTTGGTCTGAGTTACTCTTCTAGTGGCCTCCCTCAAATATCAAGATCTAAGAAAGAAAATTGAAAAGCCATCTCTCCTTGTTTGAAAAAACAAGGAGAGATGCCATTAAAGTTTTGTGGATGTCATTCTAGAATCTGTTCATGAACTTTGAGGCTAGAATAGTGAGATCCCACAAAGCTTTATTCAATACTAAACGATATTGGCATCGCTTACGCGAATAGTTCCTACAAGTTATCAGCTACGTAATAACAAATTTGATTCTTTAGGCCCTGTACACTTAGTAGTTTTTTGTTGATCTTCTGAGGAGCTTGATCGACGGCATTACTTGTAACATAATAATATAGCGGTTTCAGCGTTCATTAGGCCGTAGGCCTGTCGACGATCCTTCACATTACAGAACATTCACAGCATGTTGCGGGCTTGAACTCGCAAGTCGCAACTCACTGCTTCAAATTTTCTTTGCTTAACCGCCCGGCCTCCTTGCCGATTCTGACCAGAAACTGGCGCACAGAGCTGGGATCAAACCCGCGCCTCTCTGCGCCAATCCTGGTACTCTGAACTTTAACCACTGGGCCAATCAGTGCAATAAACTAATTACTTGCATTAGTTTATTTAAAACGTTTACTTAGCGATTTATTCGGTTTTAAATACTGGGATGCAAGTATTTAGTGAAGAGAAAAGTTCCATTGTAGAGCCAATCCTCGCTGGGTAAGAAAAGCTATCAAGGAGATGTAGGTATAATTTATTGCTCATAAAAATACAAGTGTTGGGAGCTCTACAAAAAATATATTAGCATTTCTTAGCCCCTAAAGCGCAAGATTATGAAGTTGGTTTGCAATGAAGTACAAGAAATATGATTCGTTCGTTTTCATAATATAGATAGAAATAACAAAGACCTGGAATTGCAGTTGTCTACATGGCCGGTTGAAGATTGATCAATAATTTAGGTAGGAATATCATTATGGATAAAGCAACAAACGTGTCGACATAGAAAAAAAACTAGATCGAATCTTCGCCGTATCAACAACAGGTTTTCACGGTATAATTTGATGCAAGAATTTAATAACTTGTCAGTTAAATAATTATTAGAACATTGGTGATTTTGCACTCAACTTCAGGAAAACTTTAGAAACAAACACGGCACATGTCATTAAATCTGAAGCACAATGGTGGGAAAAATCATTATTTATAGAATGAAAGCATTTAGAACCGATTCCTTTATATTCATGTAATACAGTAAACCATAAATTTTTGCACGTGATGTTGCCATACTCGAACGCTTAGGGTGCACAAAAAATAAACTATCGTTAAAATAAAGTATAAATTACATCCAACAGCAAAATGAACAACACAGGCGGCGAAGGTAAAGAAATACTCGTAATTAAACTGCGGCAAACGAACGATGCAAATCAATCAACATAACATTGATTCAGTGCGATCATTTTTTAGGCTTTATAGAAGGAAAATATATTCTAATTTGACCAAAATCGAGAAATTGGTCTCATGATACCCATTAATGCTAGGCAGTTTCAGGCAAATTTTTTGAGGTAAAAAACATGCAATTTGCTGTACAGTTATTCTAACATGAAAGTCGCATAGATATTGCGTTTAAATAATAACTAATTTACGATAAGTTAAAATGAATATAAATAAGCGAAGATTACAGGGAAAGTGACACTTTACGATCATATTTAGCGTTGAAAGTAACGTTCTTTTGCTAATATGGTTGACGCAGTTTCCTTCCTAGGCCGTAAATAAAATTAGGTAAAACAAAGCAAAGTAAATGATTTATAACATACATAATTTTAGTATAGCTTGAATAAAGATATTATTCACGGGCACAGGGATGAATCTTGTCGTAAAAAAGTTCGCAATCAAGGGATGAAATAGGCATTGATATTCTAAAATACAAATAAACAATAAATACGAGTCCAACGCGTTCGATAGAAGTTAGAGAAGATAGCATAGAGGCATTTGCTTCACATGTGGTGTAGAGAGAACTCATTTTAAATCAAGAAACACAGAAAATTCGGACATATCTAAGTAGCGATGCACTTAAAATTGAATAAATATGATTGACAATCGCATCATTTTAGAGAAAATATGGATTTAAAAAATTACAAGTTTAGGAAACTCAAGTTTCAACGTGCTGATCTAGGAAGGAAGCTGGAGGGAGGCTACATATCAAACCTACGCCGGAAAATGCTGTAAGAATTCACACCCGGCATCTGATGTTGAAATAACGTGTTTTAAACGTTACTTGGACAACTTATACTTGTGATCAACGTTGTTTCAACGAAATTAACTCTAAATCAACATCGTTGTAACGAAATCAAGTCGTAATCAACATTGTTTAGACGTCATTTGCAGTATGAGGATCAATGGAAAGCATTGACGGAGATATAAAAATGGTAAAGATAATAAATGAAGATGAAACGAAGGAAATAAAGAATTATAAAGAAAATATGAAAGAAGCGAGGAAGTAAGGTATCCTGAGTATCGGGAGCACCAAAGCTGCCAGAAGATAAAACTCTTCTTCATGATAACAAATAATAGTCAAAAACTTTCTTGTGATACATTTGAAATAAATTCTCCTTGAATGCCAACAATTTACGCAAGATGTGCGTTGTAGGCGAGCACAGAACGTAGAATTTAAAGTACAAGATATGATTATTTCTCATGCAAACCAAGAGTTTGATAGCGAATTTCAAAAACGCGACTGCAAGAAACTTGTTTGATTGCAAATTTTTTGGTGAAACTTAGGCGTCATGCGAAAATATACGAAGACGAATTTACGATCATCGTAATAGTATACGCGTATGTGTAATCAACATACATTTCTCTAAGACAATTTCTTTACTGTTAACTTGCCGACAAGAAGAAAATGACGTACACTGCGCTGAAGTAGAAGGTATGACATAGCATGGCGAATAATGAAGTGTATGTGAAAGGACGATGAGATTACTGAACACACAACGCTAATAATGAACACAGGCTTTCTTACGCCGCTTTTACTCAAAATATTCATGTATTTATTCAGTGATTAATATCCGCATAACTTATAAATAAACGGAAGTTTTCAATTTATACGGCAATTTTGTCCATTTATCCAATATAAAATCAAAATGTATAAATATTTTTGCTTCTGCCCGGATGAATTTGCCGTGAGCATCCATTCAGAAATTTGTGAACTGAGTTACGCTACAAGCCACAAATGTGATGAAATTTACGTACAAAATCGTACATATGAAATTTTTTTGCACATGAGTTTTTTAAGTCAGCAGGGAAATGCACGAGCGATAGAACAAAGCGATGATGCACTGCAGTCATACTGATTATTTAATAAATTATTCATAATATCCATTATGGATCATTTTAAAAATAAGTAGTCATAGGTGCAATTAGCAATAGTTGAAGGTTGCACGATGCGGACGAATAAAGCAAAGTAAATAAAACATAATAGTTTTCTGACATATATAATGGGAATTAGTGTAATAGAAAAGCGAATGAGTTCTTACATAATTTGAATTATTTCAAAAAACTTGACTTGCTTGAGCAACCGGCAGTTAGCTCGACATAATCATCGTAAGCTCGAAATAATTCGTATAAGCTTTCAAAAATCGCGTACCTGATTAACGAAGAAAAATACATAAAAGACAGCTACAGAAAGAACACAGAAGATGAAGACATTTGAGGTTTTTACAGTTTGTTTTATTACGGTTATTTACCTGACGGTTCAATTAGAAGTAAAAATAAGCAAAGAAGAATGCTGCTTGAAATAGAGACACATCAGTTTCTACAGTAGAACATAACCCAAACAATAAATCCAAGGTTCAAGTTTGAAAAAAACGTCCTATTTCAAATCTATAGAACCCGCTATAAAGTTAGAATTAGTCAAAACGCGTTACAGAACAAACTTAGAAACTTAGAAGAAAATCTAAACCCAGAACTTAACGTCACTCAATTAATATAAAGTTTCAAGTTATATTCAGGCCCTCAACCTAGAAATGTCGGACATAAAAATAAGTTTCAACCCATCAATTAAATTTAAACAAACTACAAAATGAAAAAAAAGAGCGAATATGATCAGAAGCAACGTCCGTACGAATAGCATGCATTGCTACTAATATTAAGTATGTCAAAGTCAAACGCTTAGAAATGCAAGTAGCTAGCCACTAATTACAAGGTAATCTGTACAAGTTAAGAGTAAATATGCAACTTACTTTAATGTATCAAAAGCTAGCTGGGCAGATACAACAGCGACGTTGCGAACAAATGTACGTTTTGTATAGGCCTTTACCTGTTGAAATTTCGCTGTATAAAATTTTACTTTGCGGAAGAAACTCGAATTCTATTTCTTGCTTTTAGTTGGAATTGGAAAAAACGACGTCAGTGCAGCATGAATTTTTGATACATCAATATTTCATGGTTAGATTTAGTCTTGGAAGATGATTTACTTAGTAAAGATGTTTGAAGACATTAACCAAATAAGATATGTTAGGCATTATGAGTGCAACAATGTGGTTAATTAAAAAAAACTATTTTCTAGTGAAAAAATATTCCGTAACAGAAGCCAAGAACTGTAAATAATGATTGACTTAGTTTTACTCAGGATATTTTTTATTTCGGTGGGTACTGGCATATACAAATCCCATTTGCCGCTTTCTAAATGTACATCGACGCTCCCAACAGGCGGCGCGTAATATATTTCGTTCGTTCCTGAAATACGACACTGCAAGTACAACTAGCCACATCTCGTGTTCTCTCTCAACATTTTGGTTTCTAATTATTTTCAAAACCACGTCAAAATGTTATAGATGAGGGCATATTTTACTTTCAAAATAAGGGCCCATTTTCTTTTCAAAACCAATCACTACTTCCCAAATTAAGGGCCAATTTACTTTTCAAAATCAATCACTCGACGGAAACTGAACTGCAAGGCTGACGGTATACAAAGAAGACCATAGAAGCAGCTTCTGGATGAACTCGAGTTGATACTTTAAACATTTTTCATAATCATGGTTAATCCTCATTATATCTGCATCAACGATCACGATGAATGAGGGGATTTCCGTCACCATTAATAGACTACATCACCATACAGTACTTGTATTTATGTTAGTGCAGTATACAAAGTACAGTATACATGCAACACAGGTTTTTGTATAGGTAGGTAATCGGAGAAACAAAACTTCACCTGTTAATCAAAAATGTTATTTCTTATAAACACATAACAAAATAAGACATTTCAAAAAAAAATTTGGACTGCAAATTTAATAATTAAAACTTGATAGTCAAAGTCGTCAGTATAAAAACTTCATACTCTTTAACTGCATTAAATATTATTTTTTTCTGTCTCGATACCATATATAAATAAGTTGGGTAATTGAAAAGAATAATACATGACAAGATTATTTTCAACCAGTCGACAAAAAAAACTCCTGATACATCTTTTTCATTTTCAACCAAACATTTTCACGAAACGCTGCCGAATACATTACTGGCGCATCTCTACCGCTATTTCAAAAACGAAAAAAACGATATGACGGGCGTTTTAGTGGGTGGTCGAAGCGTCGAAAAAAACATGTCGCCGTTTTTTTCTAAGTTAACATATGAAACCCAAACCATTATGGTCGAATTTCACGGGACGGCCGGCCAATAATACCCCCGGTCCAACCGTTTCTAGCCGAGCCGTTTTTTGGAACATAGGACATAGTCACATCTACCAAGTATGCACTTGAGTCATCTTTATAACAAAGCAAATCCACATACAATATTCATGGACTTTTAGATCCCTCCGCTGGTAAGTAAAGCCTTCAATGATATTATCCGAGCTTTGAACTAGTCCAGGTGTACAGGGCTAGAGGCGGTCGTTGCCCTTAGTTTAGAGGGCTAGAGGAGGTTGTTGCCCTTAGTTTAGAGGGCTAGAAGAGGTTGTTGCCCTTGGTTTAGAGGGCTAGAGGAGGTTTTGCTCTTGTTTTAGAAGGCTAGAAAGGGTCATTGCCCTTGGTGGAGAGGGCGGCAAAGCCGTTGTTATGGGGTGGTGCCCCCCAGGGGTCGTTGAAACCCCCCACTGCTGATGCCCTTAGCTCGTTAATTGAAGGCTTGGGGGACTGGGCGGCCTGAAAGGGGTTAGGGACAACCCCTACCGCCCCCCCTCCCATCACGCTCCCACTGAAGGGATTAGCGCCTGAAAAAAAGTCTTGGGATAGGGGAGGGATGGGGGAAGCTGTAGCCAAAATGTCGTTGTTGTTGACGTTGGTGTTGAATGCGTCCATGATGTTGGAATTGTCTGTTTTGAAGTATGGTGTTGAAGTGCTGGTAGGAATGGTGGTGAGAGGGGTGGTGGTGCAGGTGGAAAGAGCGTTGAAAGAAGTGTTTGTGCCGGTGGAAAGGGCGTTGAAAGAAGCGTTGGTGCCGGTGGAAAGGGCGGTGAAAGGATTATTGTTGGTGTTTACGTTGATGGCGTTGGTGGAAGAGAAGAGAACGTTAGGTGTTGGTGCGAGTGTGGAGTTAGCAACGCCTGTGAAGCTCAGGTTAGGAAACGAGGTGGACAGAGCGCTGGAGTTGGCTGTGGTGTGGAAACGGTAACAACGAAGTGGTGTGTGATGGAAATGGAATACAAAAATGAAAATAAATTATTCAGAAATGAAGAAACGTAATTAGGTTCAGAAGAATTTTCAGAAATCCAATAAAGAAGTAATTGATAGCAGAAGTTAAGTAATTATGGGCAATATAAAAGTAATTAACAGCAATAGAAGAGTAATTATAAGAGAAATAGAAGTAGTTAGAGAACAAAGAAGCGTCATTAGTAGACAGAATGAAACTAATTAGAAAATCGAAAAAATTATTCAGAGAAAAAATATATAGAAAAAAAAGAATTGAAAAACGAAAGTGATTAATTAATGAGAGAAAGCATGATATTAAAAGTGAAAAGTAATTAATATAGATAGAAATAATTAGCAGTACAGTTAGGTGTAATGGGGGAACTCAAGTCAAGAGAAGAAGAAAATAATTTGAACAAGAGAAATTAATTAAGTTAAAATAATACAAATTAGAGAAAGAAATATTGATAACAAATATAGAAATGATATATTTTTCGATATGATTTATCAAAGAAAAAATCCAGAAATGTATAAGAAATCAGAGAAATTATAAAATAGAAAGAAAAGATTGAGGCAGTGAAGAAATTTAAGCATGAATGTGCAAGAAGGAAATGAATGTTTTGTGAGATTAAAGTGCATGGAAGAAATCAAAATTATTAAATTTTGAAAAGAAACAACCAAGGACAATTTAGGAGAAACAAGATGGAAACAAAAAATCTAATTTGGACTTGCAGGACACAATGAGATTCAATGAATGAAATTCAGCACAAGAAAGAATGAATATCAGAAAATAATAGAAAATATCAAAGTGGATGTATGATGAATAAACTAATAGTGAACACATTCAGATCAACATGTTGAATGAATCATTTTTATGTAAAATATATTGACGATTTTAAAATTTATTTTTATTTTGTAAAATTACGAAATTAATTACGTTATTAACAAATACAAAACTTGAGAAGGAAATGATTTGTGTGCTTATATGAAAAGCAGTGAAGTATATAAATACAATAAACATCACAAGCAAACAGAGATAATCAGCATGCATCATTAGACATTTATTCATGCTTAATGATGTATAGACATGATCAGCGTATTCATTCATGCTTGATGAAACATTGTCAGACCATTATTAGCATTGTGAACATGCACACATGTTCTCATAGTTTGAAAACAAGTGCAGAGCGTGTTTAGTGTTTTGTTTAAACATGATTAAAAATGATCAAAAGAACAATATTTGAGAACAGTTATAACAACCAACGACCACTTTATGTACCAGTCAAAGACACAATTTTTTACAAGTTCAAAACATGTTTAACACATTCAAAGCTTGAATCAACATGTTTAGAAAAATGATTCAATGTGTTCAAAACAAGTTTAAAGACATTTAAGAGCAAGCCCATCATTCCATACAACAAATTCATTGTAAAATGTAGCATGAATTGTGAACAAGCATGACACAAAACACAAGAGCTTGACAGGAATTGAAAAAAAGTCAAGGAAGTCAATCAATAATCAAGAAGAGAATTTCAATAAATCGAATGTCAGGACAAAAAACGTCATGATAAGAACCAGAAAACCTCACAAAAAATATAGGAAGAATGAATGTTGTTGTATGAGATAGAACACAAATTGTAAGTTAGATGGAATTTCATTAAGAATACAATTCCTCCAAGAGCAGAAAATGCGGGCAGAACCACATTCAAGTTCGAGTTAATAATTTTATTTCAATATATTTTCATTATAACGTATCAATGAGAGGTGATTTGATTCATTAATTTTGCATTCATTAATTAAAGACAATCATTAATTATCAACAATTGCAGGAAGTTCACAATAGCTTGAGACAAATTAGAAGTTAATTTTTTATTAACTTTGATGAATTATAGGCAAAGATAATATTAACCAATAATATTAGTGTGGAAAAAGCAGGCAAGTTCAGAATTGATCATCATGTGCATTGCATCAAGAGCAAACAAAGGAATCATAAAATGCAAAATATTCAGAACTTGATGAAACGAAAAGTTAAAATGAGAAAGTTATTCATCACTCATAAAAAAACAATGTTTAAATGTTTAGTAATGGAGTTTAAATTAATATTGTTATTGAATTAATATTGGTTTAAAATTGCATGAAAATTTGTGTGCAATTATTTGAATATTAAAAAAGACACATAGATTCAAAGTCGAGCATCAATCAGGAAATGCAAATCAAAGACAAAAACAACAACAAAATGACAATGAAACAAATTTAGTCAAATAAATACGACAAAATGTGGGTTTAATACAGAGGAGTTTTGAAAGATTCATGGGTATTTTATTAAAGGTTTGGACGGTGTTTACAGAATGCAGTGAAATAGTGAAAGGTTAGAGTAATAGTGAGAAATGAATAGATTAGGATATATTTAGACAGGATAAAAATTTTGTGTTCAATGGATGATAAAATATATCAATGAGAAATATGTTCTCAAGAATGTTAAAATTTGTACGTTTGCAGTAAAGTTGAGGGTATTGGATATGGAAGTGAGGGAAGTGAGGGAAGGAGGGAGAGGGAATAAAAGCATTAGAGTCAAGTTTTATAATAAAGTATTAAAAGAAGCACATAAATGCTACACCTTTGTTGCAATACAGGAACGAAGGCAAGACATAAACAAAACGGATATTCATGGCATTTCATGTATACATTCATATAAACAAAATACAGAAAATTTGCTAGAAAAAAGAAAAATGTAAAACACACCGGTTTTATGTAAAAAAATTGTGTTTAATAAAATATGCATTATTTTAGGCTCAACTGCAGCATGGCAATGATAATGAAGAATGCACCTTCATGAGAATTGACATAACAAGAGATAGTTACAAAATGATATTAAATTATAGAAGAAAATATTAAGAAAAAAGACCAGAAAACCATCTGAAAATTATTATAAAACACACAAGTACACATAAATAATATACCTGGACAGGAAGGAAAAGAATTTTATAAAAATTGTAAATTTATTATCAAGTTTAAGGCAAGCAATTGCACATTCTCAACATGCATGGCAAGTGGAATCATCATGCAACTTGGCAATGTTGACTTTGCTGATGCGTTGATTTATCGGGTGTTGTATTAATATTCAAGTGAAAATTGCTGTATTAATAATATACAACACAGGAAAATAATTTAGCATCAAATAGCCTTCAAGTGTATGTAATAGATAGGAAAGCTATTTTCCTACATAGCATATTTTCAAATAGGGATGGTGTTCAAATGTGAATATATTGTGTTGTGTACAATGTGGAGCATACATGCATAGAACACTTATTAATGCAATGAAATAGTATATTGCTTTACTAAGATTTATTTTCTTCTAAATAAGATGTAAATAAATATCCTAGTCATAGAAATAAAAAGACAAATGTTCTTCATTGCATCTTGAGTATGTAGCATAGAATAAAATGAATTCATCTTGATTGGATTTTAAAAACAACACGGAACACACAGCATAGCCAGTTTGCTTACCATTTTTAAGCAGCAAAAACACAAATCAAGATATTAGAAAAATGTGACTATTTTATTATTACTTTTTTTCAATTTTAGTGCATATCACAAAATTTTGTAACAACCTGTTTTGTGTGAGTAAATAATAATACTAGTGAATGTTTGTATGGGTAACTAATTATACTGGTGCACAAACTGTAAAATTAAATGTCAGCAAATGCTTTATCAACTGAAGATAACCTGATAGCTTGCAGCATGGTTAGACAAAGATATTTTAACATGCAGCATTGTTGAACAAAGATAAGATATCTTGCAGCACAGTTGAACAATTATCAAGCAAGCAAAAGTTACGACAGCACACATATACTGGCTGTAATGTGATGCTATAATGCAAAGGCAGTGCGTTAAATGGTAATGCAGTGGTAACGCAGTAGTAATGCAGTGGTATTGCAGTGGTATTGCAGTGGTATTGCAGTGGTAATGCAGTGGTATTGCAGTGGTATTGCAGTGGTAATGCAATGGTAATGCAGTGGTAATGCAGTGGTATTGCAGTGGTAATGCAGTGGTAATGCAGTGGTATTGCAGTGGTAATGCAGTGGTAATGCAATGGTAATGCAGTGGTAATGCAGTAGTAATGCAGTGGTAATGCAGTGGTATTGCAGTGGTATTGCAGTGGTATTGCAGTGGTAATGCAGTGGTATTGCAGTGGTATTGCAGTGGTATTGCAGTGGTAATGCAGTGGTATTGCAGTGGTATTGCAGTGGTAATGCAGTGGTAATGCAGTGGTAATGCAGTGGTAATGCAGTGGTAATGCAGTGGTAATGCAGTGGTAATGCAGTGGTAATGCAGTGGTAATGCAGTGGTAATGCAGTGGTAATGCAGTGGTAATGCAATGGTAATGCAGCAATACCTTATTCGTATAAAGGGTCCGCGCGAGCTGAGCAGCAGATAAGAATAACATGTAAAATAAACATATGAAAAGCAAGGCACGACAAGAGGACAGGGAAAGGGAGAAGATATGAAGTGTTCGACTCATTTCATATGCCTAAAAGATTTAAATAGGATTCGAATTAAATAACGAAATAATTATAGTTTATAGAGAAGAATAATCTGCCCTGATAAAGTAGCGGAAACATGAATGTCATGATACAGAAAATGGGCTGGAGAACCCTGAACATCAATCAAGGGTTGCACTAATTGAAACTGGCCTAAGTACATGTACGGTCGAAGTACACGTATAGGGGCATAAGTAAACGTAGCGGCCTATTTATCGTTTGCGATTGGTATTTGGTCTGTATAGCTTCAGAAGCCGTCACTGATTGGCAGACGGAGTTATTAACTATTTTCGACAGTGCGGCGCGTGATGAAATAATGGGACTCAAAATAAAAAAAATGAAGTCAGCACAATGCGGCGGAGATGAGTAGGGAAAAACTCGTGCATATACTCATGTTAAAACAAGCATCTCATTCATTGCATTCATTATTAATTAAGGACATTAATTACATTCATGTTTCTCCCTTGCTTCTTAACGTCTCTTATGATGCAGTATTTAGCAGCTACACTCAGAGAAATTAATGGGACACGCTGTCTTAACTGTGACACACTTTCATACGCGCACAGCACGAGCAGTGAGCGGACGCAGCACTAATGCCCCTTTTGACCGGACACAAGTGGGTCAGGATGACCCACATCAGAGGCAAAACGTGCATCACTACATGGACAAAGCTACATTCTTTTTAGCGCATTTTCTCATTTATTGAAAAAATGCGCTATTGTGCTCGCCATGTCCGTCCGTCTGTCCGTCTGTCTGTCCGTCTGTGACTTCACGTTTTCGTCGACGAGAAAATGCGCTCTCTGTCACTTCCTGCAGTGAGTACTGAGTTATATTTTTTCTGAGTGTGGTCAGGGTCCACCTGATGTTGGTATGACACACTTCTTAGGTCTACACTCAAGAAAATAAGCGAGACATAGTCCAAATATCGATGCATTTATAGCTCTGTGTGGGTCACTCTGACACAGTTAGCTCCTGGCAAGGTGTGTCAGTGCTACGTGCGCAAACTGTCAATATTTGGACAACATGACCGACTAATTTTTTTTAGTGTCAGCGAACAATGAACGTGGAGGAAAAAGTGAATTTTTATCATGAAAAAAAAAGGGAAGAAGTTAATTTTTGGAGAGAAATTTTTTTAGAGGAAATTTTCGGACGAAACAAAGTGAAATGAAAACGTTCAAGATGAAGATAAGGTGAGTGTACCGGGTGTTATCTTTGATTATAAATTTAGGTGAAGCAGATTAACTAAGCTAATTATTTAAGCACACTAATTAAGCTAATTATTTAAGCGCAATAATTAAGCTAATTATTTAAGCAGACGAATCAATTTAATTTAATTAAAATTAGTTAGAAGATTTCTGAATAAAAATGCAGGCAAGATGCAGAAAATGAGTACAAAGTTAATAACGTTAATAACATTAATAAAGAATATAAAATATGTACATAAAATAGATAAAATGTGCGTGGGTATGTCAATGTGAATGAATGTGATTAAAGAGAAATGTTGCATGAAAATTTGATGTATGTTATGGATGTGTTAAATGTTTCTTAGAGTGTAGAAATAACACTTAAAGTATTGATACAATTTTCGTAGCATATTAAAAAATGTATAACGAATGAAAACAATTTTCTGAAAATGAATGATTTTTGGATACGATGATAGCATGATAAAATTCATCATTTCAGAGAAGGCCTTCAAATGCTCTATATAAATACTTGGCTATTATTGCTACATAGTCAATAGTATGTAAAATCATTTTTTACAGTCAGTATTATGTAAAGTTCATTTTCGACATAGGTAGTCAGTATTATGTTCAGGAAGGAAAACAAAGGTATGTGTTAGTAATCCAGCAACGGTATAATAGCCTACTTGCTAACTAATTTAAATTTAGTAGATTATGGCAACAACAGGGCAATTAAAAGGCGTCAAGGCCTGGCAACAATATTCCTGTCAACAAATGTAATGTAAACGGTGTTACTGGCAACATTGTCCCTAGGCAACAATGCTCAGCAATAAAGTTGCCAGCACCAAAGTTGCCAGCAAGCAACACATTTCGTGACAACAGTTTCCCTGGCAACTAATATAGCGCCGGCAACATAGTTGCCAGTAACACTGTCACCAGTACAGTTGCCAGGCAACACGCACCTATAGGGTTGACAGGCTTGCTGGCAACACCCACCTATAGGGTTGACAGGCTTGCTGGCAACACCCACCTATAGGGTTGACAGGCTTGCTGGCAACAAGGTTGTCGAGGTTGACGAGGCCGCTGTTCTCCCCCAGGAAGCCTGCGGGGGACCGGCGGGTGGGGGGCGACGTGCCCGCGGGGGTCGTGCCTGCGGGCACCAAAAATTTGTATATATATATTATTTTATACTAATAATTATTAGGTTATATTGCTAATAATTATTATGTTATAATAATAATGATTATTATGTTATAGTATTAATGATTATTATGTTATAATACTAATAATTATTATATTATAATACTACTAATTATAATATAAAATGATTTCTAATGATCTTAATTTTCAGGATTAAGCAAGTGAGGGCAAGAGTAGCCCACCTGTAGCAGGTTTATCCCTGTTGGTGCCCACCTGTAGCAGGTTTATCCCTGTTGGTGCCCACCTGTAGCAGGTTTATCCCTGTTGGTGCCCACCTGTAGCAGGTTTATCCCTGTTGGTGCCCACCTGTAGCAGGTTTATCCCTGTTGGTGAGCAGCGAGAAGTCATCAGCATGTGAGGGTTGGGGGGGCAGGGGGGCGAAGGGGTCCGGTGGTGGGGTTGGGGAGCGTACAACCCCCCAGGGGTCCACAGGAGGGATTACTGGACCCCATGGGTCACTGGCTCCTGCGTATATTAAAATAATTATTACTTATTATTATTTATTATTATTATTATTAATTATTATTATTATTTGTATCAACTTTTGACGTCACAATGAACAAAATTAGTTACTCATTAGGTATATTGGCCTATTTAGCTTCACAGAACACATTTAATTGATAATGAACTCTTTTGTATCACCTAGAAATAACAGAAAAAAATCAGAAGCTATTCTGCAGAAGTTTGCTGTTTAGGAAAATTAGCTTCTTCAAAAATTTCTTTTCAAAGAAAATGGAACAAAAACAATAAATTACAATAAAATATGTACTCTGACAGCATTCCATCTACCTTCACCGCACCCAGTCTATACCCGGAAAAATTGCTGGATCATGTCCAAATAATGACAAACGTCCAGCATATATCAGAGAAGTGCATCACTATATAATATAAACAATGTTTATATATAATATAAACAAAGTGCATCACTATATAATATAAACAATGTTTATATATAATATAAACACCACGGGTCAGCCTGCGGGCCAGAATATTTAATTACAATTAATCAATTATTAATTGTTTAATAATGTCTTTCAGTTAATCAATCAATTGTTAAACTGAAATAAAATATTATTTGTTGCAATAAAACATGATGTTACAATATTTATCAAAATTAATCAATTATTTCCAATTGTTAAACTGAAATAAAACACATTATTTGTTGCAATAAAACATGATGTTATAATCGTTATAATTAAATTAACTTTAAAAAATAATTTTGATGAGGATAAAATTAAACTGTCATTGTTACATTCATCATTTAACAATTATTCAACAGGAGTACTTTTATTGTCAAGTATTCTTCAGGAATGTAAATTGAAACTTTCTATGTCAATTATTGTCAGCTGTCAATGATATCATTATTGATGTATTAATAATAATATTTTTTATATTATTATCATTATTTTAACTCAAAATATTGCACTTGTATAATGAATACACAAGAATATGCATATATGCTTAAAATAAATGCATTATTAAGGAATGGTAACATTTCTGTTGCTGTATTTATCAATTATTCATTTGGATTATGAATTATGAAATTTATTCAATATCTGATCTGAAATTCATAGTTTATTATAGAGGTGGAATGTGAATTCTAATTAAATCAGTTCATAGAGAAAAAAAATTCCAAGTCTAGAAAACATTCAAAGAGAAATCAATTATAGGAAGCACCTACATTTATTTATCTATTATAGAATAAAAGTTAAATAAACCAGAAAAGCATTAAGTAATCAATGATGTTAAAGAAACAGAATTCAAAATCATCCAGACAAAAGCATTTGAGTTTGTTGAGATGGAACAGAGAATTTTCATCAGGGAATCATCAAAGAATTCGTGATAATTCAAATTTTTATAATTGGCTGCAAAGTCTTCAAACCATAATCAGTTAAAAATAATTTCCCAAACAAAGTTATAACTTTAAAAAATTTCCAAACAAAATAATTATTTAAAATAGACAAAATCCCATACAAAAGGATAATTCAAACAAATAAAAAATCCTAAACAAAAGGATAATTTTCAAAAAATCCCCCAAAAATGACAATTTAACAAAAAAGTCTCAAGCAAAAGGATAATTTAAAAACAATGGAAATTTAATCAATGGTCAGAGGGAGAAAAATGCATGACATGACAAACAAATAATAGCACTCAAAAATAAAATAAAAATTATACATGATTTTCACACAACAAAAAATTTATCAAATTGTTCCCTCTGAAAAATCATAAATGATCCAATTCACTCAAGATAATAAACCAGCAGAACTTGCCCATTAGGGGTACAAAACAATATAAAAATAATGGGAAAACATTCGATGATATCACACATCTTAAATAATTTTTAATAAGAGTAAAAAATGCATCAATTTTGCACATGATAGCAAAGTTCATACAATAAAACCAAAGAATTAAAAATATTATACAAACTTTAGGTATATTAAAGAACATTTTTTTCCAATTCTGTAAGCAAATAAGATTGTTTCTACTGAAGGGTGAATAATATGAGAGTGATGCCAAAGCAGCTTCACCAAACCTCATGCTTAGGGTTGGGTCAATAAGGGTTCTACGAACCCTGCAAATGTGTTTAGCACTAAAGAGGGTTGACAGGGTTCTAAAACACAAAAATTGCTTTAGCCTCAATTCAAATTCAAGGCTTGAACCCCTGAAAAGGGCTAACTAACCCTTAGCCCCAACATTATCTAAACCTTAAAAATGGACTCAATGTGAAGCTGTTATGAGGGTAAACCCCATTAAATTGTCGAGCTAGAATCTAAACACCAGACCCAATAACTTCTAGACCCTGTGTGAGGTACTGGACTTAGGGACTAGAAGTTAAGGTGTCTAAAGACTGGAAGTCATGGGTCTAAAGACTGGAAGTCATGGGTCTAAAGACTGGAAGTCATGGGGTCTAAAGACTGGAAGTCATGGGGTCTAAAGACTGGAAGTCATCTGGTTTAGACCCCATGTCAGGATTAGACCCCAGGTGACTAAAGTAGCCCCTATGTTACATGCAGACCTTGACAGAATGATGTACCCCTAATAAGACTAGACCCTGTGATAGATTTGGGCTCAGTGACTAAAGCAGCCCCTACATGACAGAACCCTAATAAAGGTTGAACCCTGTCTAAAGTTTAGACCCTGCTAAGGGCAATTCATATCACAGACCCTGGCCATACAAGACCCGGTCTACCTTGGGTGGAGATAAGGGAGGAGGGCTGATGGTCTGCAGCTTGGGCGCAGGCACCCCCCAGGGGTCTACAGGTTGCTGCACACATACACATGGTCTACATAGTCTATGGTAATTAGTTATACACATGGTCTACATAGTGTATGATAATTAGTTATTATGTGCCTTAAATTAATTAAGTTTATTATCATTTATCATCAATCAATTACCTTCATTACTACATTTAGTTAATAATAACTTTTATTACATACAGATGGTCTACACCACACCTGTACCACATAATATAATTATAATTAAAAGTAACATTAATTATAAATAATAAATGTCACTTTATTTAATATGTTTAATTAATTACATTTAAATAATAATAACTATTATAACATAAAAATGATCTACACCAAGCTTGTAACACATAATTAAAGTACACAATGTGTGTACACATAGCATAAAGTATACATTTATGTGATGAATGTTGATATCATCTGCACATCTGTTACTAACAACATAAAAATATGTGTTGAATGCATATGGTACACATATGTGCCATGGATGTAGCACATATTATTTATACAAACATAACATACCTACAATGTGTACCATATATTAGTACACATATACTGTGTGTACAAATGTAATGTATCCACATTGTATATATCTACAAATCGTAAAAATTATGGATTCAATGCAAAAATATTTTTCATGCGTGTTTACATATATCCATTCTATTTGCTAAATAATGGATAATCATATTCATTCGATCTATCAAGATCCATCATTCTATTTATAATGACATTTTAACAAATGTAAGAATTAATTTCAATTAAACATACTAATTTGTGAAAAATAACACTTTTGAAGAGATGGTTAAAAGTTATTTTTAGTGACATGCTTATTTTAGAATTGAAGACTCTCTAAATTCAAGGTCAATAAATCACACTTAGCATATTAAGAGAACTAGTTATAGTAGAAAATTTTATCTAGTATTTACTAGGATTTGATATTTGATTAAACTAGAAATTATTACATCTCTAAAGTTGTTCAGCTTTCCAATTAGTTATTTAGCTAATAATCCTGACTAAAATTATGATAAATTGTATATGATACATGGACATTCTTATATGTAGCTGCCTTGGGCAATAAATAGGTTTGCTTAGATTAACAAGGTTGATCATGTTTTAAATCAGTTATTAATTAATTTATTGGTGGCGTATTATTGAAGAGGTCATTGTAGAAAGACTTTAACACATAAAAATAAAACATATGACCATCACCATAGATAAATTGAAAATTGTAAGTGATATTGTTTCAATTATATGAGAAATAATAAGTGAATCAAGCCCCAGAGTTTTCTTAACCAACAATCACAAAATTACATTACAAATGATGTACAAATTTTAAAATCAACAATTTTTTCCATTGTAAAAAATGAACACACACACACCCAAAAATCAAGAAGCATCTTGAAATAAGCGATTAAGATAAGAGTATAAATTACATATTAAAACTTAAAAAAATAATAAATTGCCAAAAACACCAACAAATAAATACACAATATATTTCTGGTTAATCAGAGAACTGATCACGCGTCCATGGAAGCTCCACGATCCCAACAACCTTTAACAAATTAGAATTCACTCCTCCACTGAAATAAGCGATTGAATTAATAATAATAATAATAATAAGCTCCTTAACCCACAATGGCTCGCAATATATTTTTTATGACGAAACTTGAACGGAAGCCAAAGTTCGGAAGCTTGAAATCAAAGTTCGTTCTCACCAAAGTCCGTAAAGCTTCCTCGTTGTTTTCGTAATGTGCTTCAGGCTGTTCAATATTTTCGTACATCGCGATAATGGACGCCGGCTTGTTGGTCTCAGCATTGGAAGAAGATCCAATTTTAGCGTCTTGCTCTAACCACGCATCCACGGCATCGTATCCAGAGGTGTTGGAATAAACTGGATCCCCAACCTGGATTTTCGAACGCACTGACGAATCCGCCTGGTTTGCCTGCGGTTTTTTCAAGATGGCTGCGTATATGGGCTCTTGATTTGCGTATTGCTGAAGAGCAGAGTTGTTGTAGCTGCTGGTGATGTTTTCGGTAGGTATAGAAGGGAGGGAACGCGTGGCGAAGTCGATTTTACCTTCACCCGGTATTCCTTCGTAAACATTTTCTTTTGTGCCGTACATGATGCTGGCGTAGTCGCCCTATGGGGCGGCGGTGTAGGGAAAATTTCATATAACTGAAGAAGATAAAATCTTGCAGTGGACGTCTCTAAAAACTCGCAGACATTTTACAGCACGCGGGTTGCGACCAGCAAAATTGGCGCAGTACCGTAGAACACGTGGGTTGCAACCAGTAATAAAGTTGCGCGGTACGGTAGAACACGCTGGTTGCAACCAGAAATAAAATTGCACGGTACGGTAGAACACGTTGGTTGCAACCAGTAATAAAGTTGCGCGGTACGGTAGAACACGTTGGTTGCAACCAGTAATAAAGTTGCGCGGTACGGTAGAACACGCGGGTTGCAACCATGAAAAGTTGCGCGGTACGGTAGAACACGCGGGTTGCAACCAGTAATAAAGTTACACGGTACGGTAGAACACGTTGGTTGCAACCAGTAATAAAGTTACACGGTACGGTAGAACACGTTGGTTGCAACCAGTAATAAATTTACACGGTACGGTAGAACACGTGGGTTGCAACCAGAAATAAAATTGCACGGTACGGTAAAACACGTGGGTTGCAACCATGAAAAGTTGCGCGGTACGGTAGAACACGCAGGTTGCAACCAGTAATAAAGTTGCGCGATACGGGAGAACACGTTGGTTGCAACCACGAAAAGTTTTGCGGTATTTTTCAACACACTAGTTATTCAGAGTCCATTAGTGCTTAAAATTCATTACGGTTGAGGTCTGCTACGGAATCCTGGCCTCCCCGGACAGTATTCTGATGAATTTTTAGTGAATGAGCTGCTTAGGATACCCACACACCATGCAACGAGGTTGAAACAACGTTGAATCATCGTTAATTCAACCAACGATGTTTAATTCAACGTCACATGTCTGGTTGGCAGGGCCTTATTGAATACCGGACCTTTCTATAAATACCAGACCTTCCTGAATACCCAGGTCATCTCTGAATACCCAGGGCATCTCTGAATACCCAGGGCGTCACTGAATACCCAGGGCGTCACTGAATACCCAGGGCATCTCTGAATACCCAGGGCATCTCTTAATACCCAGGGCATCTCTTAATACCCAGGGCATCTCTTAATACCAGGGCATCTCTGAATACCAGGACATCTCTTAATACCCAGGGCATCTCTTAATACCCAGGGCATCTCTGAATACCCAGGGCATCTTTGACTACTCAGGGCATCTCAGAATACCCAGGGCATCTCTGAATACCCAGGGTATCTCTGAATACCGCCCTGAATACCCAAGTCCACTGAAGGCATCACCAGCAACACAACAAAACATCAGCACGTTTTAGTCGAACGCACGTAATTCGTCTAGTCTCTAGACTAACAACGTAACTAGTTAGACACACAAATTTTTTTTGTGTGTACCGTTCACCAATATAAAAAACGGTACCATGACCTCAAGTCAAACGAAATTCACAATTTTTAGTTAAAAAGTATCAAACCAATTCCGGAAGAGCGATTATAAAAATGACTAGCAAGTTTTAAACTTCATTAAAACGAAATGTCACATATTCACAATGCAATGTTAGAAAAAGTCTAAGCGTTATTATAAATTTTGTATATTATAAACAGTGTTGTAGGATCTATTATGAAGAATCGATATTATGAAAATTTGTTGAATATTAGCACACATCACGCCTATACCTTGGGACGCACCCCGGTGCTTGTGATGACATCGCGACCGCTTAGTGAGGAGGAGGGTTGTGTGAAAGAAGGGGTGGTTGGTTGTGTGAGGGAAGGGGGTTGTGTGAAAGAAGGGGGTTGTGTGAGGGAAGGGGTGGTTGGTTGTATGAGGGAAGATGTTCTAGGTTGTGCGTAAGTAGAGGTTGTGGTTCGGACAGCAGATTTAGTCGGGGATGAAATTGTAGATTGGTCACTTGTCTCCAACGAATTCGTAAAAGAAGAAAACGAAACTGATGGAGAAGTAAATGATGAAGAGAATTGTGTGGAGGGAATATTGGACGAGTCAAAAGTAGAAACGCCACGCGAATTTTGAAATTGAGCGTTTACTAAATATTTTGCTTCAGCATCGTACTTCTCTGGTGTAGGAATTGTTTCACTTGGTGAATGGAGATTTTTGAGCGTTGCGGCTTGTTCAGTTTTAAGCAAAAGAGATTTTGGCAGAAATGGAGGAGGAATCAAATTAGGGTGAGAACTGTCAGATATTTCAGATTTAGAGTTGGAATCATTGTCGTATTTTGATTTACAAATGTTCGATTTGGAGTTAATGATGTTCGACGAGTTAAAGACGTTCGATTTCGAATCAAAAACATTGGATTTCGAATCAAAGACATTGTGTTTCGAGTCAAAAACATTGGATTTCGAGTCAGAAACTTCGGATTTCGAATCAAAGACATTGGATTTCGAATCAAAGACATTGGATTTCGAGTCAAAAACATTGGATTTCGAATCAAAGACGTCCGATTTTGAGTTAAAGACATTGGATTTCGAGTCAAAGACATTCGATTTGGAATCAAAGACATTTGCTTTAGCGTCAAAGATGTTCGATTTTATATGGAAAGCACTGGGTTCGGTTTCTTCATCAGCTTCGAATAGAAGGTCGCACAAGAAAGGATTTGCCAATGAAAATCTAGGATTTGAAAGCAATTCGTTACTAGCAGACGTTGATGATATCAAAGTCATAGGTCGAGAATTAGTTGACGGTTTAACGCGATTTCGGCGCGCGATTACACCAGATTGTGAATTTGCAGAAAGGCTTTGCAACTTTTGGGCATCTGAAGCTTCGGGAAAATGCCTACAGGACTCTAGTTCAGATTTAGCAATTTCACACGTATCAATAAAGTCGGTAGTTGCAGAGACCATAGAAATATCATTGAAACTATTCAAAGTATCAGAGAAATGGGGTTTGGTTGAGGGAACTTTTGTCTTGGCTGGATGTGGGAAAGGGCGGGACAGGTTGGAGATGTAGAAAGATGTTTCACGCTCCTGAAGAACATTACATTCAACTGAATATCACGTTTCATTGTTCACAGGTAGTTAAATAGATAATTTTTTGGCAGAAAGAAACGTTGCGATTGTCGTAGACTTAATCAGAGTCTGTATAGTCCCTAAAATAAAACAGAAATTCAATTGATTTCAGACCCAAGTCATAAACTGAAATTTTCGACGATCACTCTACTATCAACCTAAGAAATTCAAAATATTTTCTTCAATTTCTAAAGACAGCTATAAGAGAATCTAGTAGAAAATGATAAAGGAAGCTTTGAGAGAAGCTCTAAAAAAAGATAACAAATGCTACACTGAAATAACCTGTATTGTATAATATATAACCATCACTGTAATCGTGAGTTATATTTCTCATATAATAGACACGTCTCCAGCCCATCAAAATTTCACTTCCAGATCTAAAAGAAAATGACATCCCGTTATTAACTCTAAAAAATAATATTTTTCACAGATGCACGAGTGGATTTATTTGGGATACGTTAGTACAGAACAATTAACACTTATTGGGTTCATTGATACTTCGGGCTAAGGAGGAGTGTCTGGAAGAGATATACTGTACATTTACTGGAAACTGTGGTCATGAATGGATGATTTAAACAGGATAATGTGATATTTCGCCATCATTTCAGAAGATGTTATCAACATAATGGAACTATATCATGACGGATGGATAGTATAATGAATATGTAAATGTACTGAAAACTGCGTTCATGAATGTATGATTTAGTAGGCCGGATACAATAATGTGATGTTTTGCCATCATTTCGAAAGATGTTATCAATTTAATGCAACTATTTTATGACGGATGGATACTATAATGAATATGTAAATTTACTGGAAACTGTCTTCAGAAATGGACGATTTAGATCGGATAATGTGAAGTTTCGCCATCATTTCAGAAGATGTTATCAACATAATGGAACTCACGACGAATGGATAGTATAATATATAAGAGACAGAATATATATAACTGATATACAACTGACCGTGTCTACAGCGGGGGGCGACAGCCCCCAGGGGTCCCTGGCTGCAGAGGGTGGCGACAGCGGCGACCCAAGACCTGGTGGGGATGGTGACAGTTTTGGTCACAACCATTCCAGTTTTTTTGTCGGGGTGAGTTTGAAAAAAAAAACTACTGAAAAAAAACTACTGTCGGGGTGAGTTTGAAAAAAAAAACTACTTTGAGTTTTTTTTTGTCAGGAGGAAGAGTGAGCACAACCATTTGAGTTTTGGTCACAACCACTGGCGACTTTTGTGGCGGAGCGACAATTAGTGAAATAGTGAGCGGAATTATAATTTCCATTAGCATTTAATAAATGAATAGAAGAAAAAAATAATAGAGCCGAAGAGATAAAATAGAGCAGATTTAGAACATCAGCCATGACCCACCTAGCCCCACCATGACCCACCTAGCCCCACCACAACCCACCTAGCCCCACCACAACCCACCTAGCCCCACCATGACCCACCATAACCCACCTAACCTTACCATGACCCACCTAACCCCCCACCATGACCCACCTAGCCACACCATGACCCACCTAGCCTCACCATGACCCACTTAGCCCCACCATAACCCCACCATGACCCACCTAACCCCACCATGACCCACCTAGCCCTCCATGACCCACCTAGCCCCACCATAACCCTGCTAGCCCCACCATGACCCTCCTAGCCCCACCATGACGCACCTAGCCCCACCATGACCCTCCTAGCCCCACCATGACCCTCCTAGCCCCACCATGACATAAATAATATTAACAACCTAATCAATACATTAATGCCCTCATAAATAATATTAACAACCTAATCAATACATTAATGCCCTCATAAATAATATTAAAAACCTAATTAATACATTAATGCCCTCATAAATAATGTTAACAACCTAATTAATTAACGCCCTCATAAATAATAATAACAACCTAATTAATAACATTATCATCTCTGCACCCATCGCACTCATTACTGGCAGCAGTGATATGTAATAATAGTAACTAACAACCGAATTAATTGTATTAAAGACCTAATCATTCATATCTTAGATGTTATACTAACATTTTTTGTTACACACATCATCACATGTGGTCAACAATCACGACATTTCTAAATAACTGTCCTCATAAGAGCCCTGTAGCGTCCAGGGGCCATACTTTCAAAACTCGCTAAGTGAACGTACACTGTTAGAAAAAAACGGTGAAAAAACGGTCCCACTGGCGTTCTAGTGGCCGGTCGCCCCGTGAAAATAAACTGTTTCGCCGTTTTTATCAGATGTTTTACGGATTTCCAGTGTTGAATTAGAATAAAAACGGCGACACGGTGTTTCTTTTCACGTGCCGACCGGCCACTGAAATGCCGGTAATACCGTTAACGGTAATTTTTATAACAGTGTAAGTACTTACGCTTTATTTTCTTGTCTATGATTGGTGGATTTTGCATGAAAGACTGTCAATGATTGGCTGATGAACTTACGATCTCTTAACTTTTTTTTATATTATAGGTCCAGCTGTACATATCTGTCGCCTTTCATACGGTCGATTTTAGTTTACATTTCTAACTCATTCGTTCAATGGGACAAAAATATTGACTTTATTTTCAGGCTGTACTGTGCCCAAAGAGGTTTTTGTCACCCATCAGATTTATTTTCAATGAATGAATTCCAGCAATTTGCTATGAATGTAATCTAGTATTTTGCACTCACAATTAGTGCAATGTAGTATTTTTACAGTGAATGAATTTCAGTAATGTGCTATGAATACAATCTAGTATTTTGCACTCACAATTAGTGCAATGTAGTATTTTTTCAGTGAATGAATTTCAGTAATGTGCTATGAATACAATCTAGTATTTTGCACTCGCAGTGAATGCAATGTAGTATTTTTTCAATGAATGAATTCCAGCAATGTGCTATGAATGCAATCTAGTATTTTGCACTCGCCAGGTACTTAGTCGCTATAGGGTTAAACGTAGCTAAAGCAATAACACTGAAATTTATGAAAAACTTTAGATGGTGGAGGAAATAAAGAAACTGTTGTAAACATTAAAGAAAACTAGTCAGCAAGTAATAGTATTAGCGGAGCGCATGTTTGCAAGAAAGCTGTAAAAATATATATAGGGGATCCTGAGGCTCGCTTTATAGAAATATGTAAATAAATAAATTTGAATTCAAAGCATTTGCTTTTTGACTACAGTTTGTGCTTGAGGACCAAGTAATCACATATAAAAAAGCTTCATAGACAACATCAATTGAGTTAATAATAAATTCCTATGGCTTTGATAGTGATAACTCAGTTAAAAGAATTATAATAACAACGAAGAAATAAAAATGAACCTAGCATAGATAAAAATTTTTGTAATTGAGATTACAAGGAAGATGGCATGGAGATATCTTAAGTGCGAACAACTCCCTCCCACAACCAAGATAAAGATTAGGATAAAAGATAAAGATAAGATGAAATTATTGACACGAAAATACACACTAAAATACCAAGAAAAAACAAGATGACGGAGGGAACAAAATAACAGAAAGAACCAAGATAAGAGGAAGAATCAAGAAAACATAAATAATTAATATAACAGAAATATCCAAAATAGCAACACGAAGAAGACCCAAGATAACAGAAAGTACCAAGATAACAAAAAGAAACAAGATAAGAAGAAGGACCAAGATGGCAACAGAAAGAACCAAGATAACAACAGGAAGTACCAGCTTACAACAGAAAGTACCAAGATAACAACAGGAAGTACCACAATAACAACAGGAAGGGCCAAGATAACAACAGAAAGTACCAAGATAACACCAAAAAGTACCAAGATAACAACAAGAAGTACCACGATAACAACAGGAAGTACCAAGATAACAACAAGAAGTACCACGATAACAACAGGAAGTACCAAGATAACAACAGGAAGTACCATGATTACAACAGGAAGTACCAAGATAACAAAAGGAAGTACCAATATAACAACAGGAAGTACCACGATAACAACAGGAAGTACCAAGATAACAACACTACACAGGCTTTACACTCACATCACTGTGCCATTATCGGACCTACAAAGAGAAAAAGTGTTATGTTACGAAATGATTATTGTTATCATTCACAATCAACTTTATGTCATTATTCATCAATTGTTCTCACTAATATTATTCATGGTTAATATTCATGGTGACATAGATTATACAGGGTTATTTTTAATAATGGAATCAATTTAATACATTAGTATTCATTCAAGTATAAATATGTAACAAAAAACTTTTGATATTTTTCTTTCCATTGGTGTATAAATTATTAATTTTGAACTGATACTTGAATAAATAGTTATTTACTAAATTGGGTCCATCATTTATAATAAACCTGTATATTTATGGTGAAAATAGCAAAAAAAACTCCAAAATCTGCAACAAACATGTCGCGCCTACTATATCAATAACAACAAAACTTTGAATACTTCACACGTTGTATTGCAATATTATTTCCAGCTCTAATTTAGTGCTTTAGAAAGTACACGTTCTTTTATAGTGCAAACAACAGGCATTTCCATAATGCAGAAGTGCAGGTTAGAAACATCTTATACCAACACCTATTGTACTACATTTCAACATGTTCAGAATTTCATGCTGCTACATTAGTGCTACATGCTTGTTAACACTCGGCCATGTCCTTCCCATGCCATATAGGTTTTATTTTAATTTTTTTACCATTTATTATATTATTTATACCAAATTAATTGTATCTTTATAGAAAACGTTTCGGAGTCCAGCTCCATCGTCAGTTCATAGAATCTAGAACATACATAGAAAGTCACAAGTTAATACAAGTGACTTTCTATGTATGTTCTAGATTCTATGAACTGACGATGGAGCTGGACTCCGAAACGTTTTCTATAAAGATATGAATTTTTGTGGACTATTCTTTGCTTTTAAATTTTTAGTCAACTTGCGATTTAAGCAAATAAGTGACATTAATAAATTAATTGTATGATCGTATTTTACATTATATTTGACTACTATTGATTTCGTTTTATTTTGACTATTCATTATTGATCACACGTCACATTAACACATCGCACGAACATCACACGTCACATTAACACATCGTACGAACATCACACGTCACACTAACACATCGTACGAACATCACACGTCACATTAACACAACATCGTACGAACATCACACGTCACACTAACTCATCGTACGAACATCACACGTCACATTAACTCATCGCACGAACATCACACGTCACACTAACACATCGTACGAACATCACACGTCACACTAACACATCGCACGAACATCACACATCACATTAACACATCGTACGAACATCAGACATCACCAAATAACACACACTATATAACATCACGACGTTAAGATCCATCCAGATGAAAATATTGTGAAGGTTTAAATACACCGATAAATAAAATTAATATCCAAACAAAGGAACAATGAATTAAAATGAAATTGCAGAGAAATAGAATAAGTCTGAAGAACTTCTGCGAAAAAACAACACATTTATGTGCTTTAGTTTGCAGAAGGCAAAAATATCATCAAAAGATGAATGACATGCAATAGTTGACAGAAACAACATCATAACAGCTGATATGCAGCCAACTAATTGAATTACCAAGACGATGAACATGATTTTAATTTAAATAAAACAAAAACATGAGACGGGAGCACATGACACTCGATCGTCAAAAAAATAACATGAAAAAAACTTGCAGTAAAATCAGGAAATTCCCTATACAATTTCTGAGCTATAGGACGTATAGTATGTATAGGTATATCTGGGCTATAGGAGATATTATATATAGGTACCGGTATATCTGGGAGGGTGCTAGTACGAAAAAATTAGCTTCAAGTTATCGCGAAATTAAGATTTCATAAAGACTGAAGAGGTCTGGAGGCCTACGAACTGCTACAATCGCTTTTTAAAATAATAATAGAAATAATAATTATGCCCTAAATAATATATGCCCATTAAGCTCTTATATTATGCCCTAATTAAGGCTCACTTCTCATCCCTGCTCTCATTAAGCCCTAATTAAGGCTCACTTCTCATCCTTGCTCTCATTAAGCTCTAATTAAGGCTCACTTCTCATCCACTAACAAAATTTAGAGTCGCCCCAGCTTCTGGTAATCCAAATCAGAAGCTGCCGCAACTGTAAATTTTTACTGGGTACATAGCGGTGATCTCAGCGCTACGCTGCTGGGGGGGGGGGACAGACGTCAAATAATGCGTGCAGAAAACCATCAAAATTTAAAGCTTATTACACTGTCAGATTCCAACGTTATTTGAACATTATTTCAAAGTCAAGTTTCAATGTTATTCCAATTACAGGTTTTAACATTATTACAATGTCAGATTGTTGTTGTTAAAAATGATTAAATGATTAATCATTTTTAAATGTTATTAAAAAGATTAAATGTTCTTACAAAGTCAGATTTCAAGGAGAGGAATCTTGAGTGGGATAGATTTAGAGTTAGTGGGATAGGGTTACAGTTTTGGGATAGGGATAGAGTTATTGGGATAGCATTATCGGTACAGTATAGTTAAGCAAGATAGAGATAGTGATTTCGTCCCACTGTAGTCCTGTGAATGGTGGGGATTAGAGGATTAGCAAGGAGTCAAGTGGATAAAAGTGGATTAGTGGATAATCCACCAATGGGAATTAGTGGATTAGTGACAAGTCAAGGAGAATAGAAGTAGACTAGTAGTATATTGTTTCCCGCACAGCCAGTATCTTTAACCGCAGTCTGACTTTCATACTATGACTTTTTTCCATGCTGTAAAATATTAGTTATACATTGATTGTGTCAAATATAATGCTGTTCCTAAGCTCACCTCTAATGCCATAAGCATCTCGCTCTGCTCGGGACGCACTCGTCACAAACGTCTGTAATGCAAAACAAACTTTAAACTTCCTATAGTTTCATCTCATTCAATACATACATTATAAAGAGATACCTAATCTAGTTTCATGTCATTCAATAAATAACAAAGAAACACCATACTTTCAATAATCAATTCTGCAATACATAGGTAACAGAATGTAGAATTTCTCTAAATTTTAAATCATTTTACGATGAATAGTTGCACAATTTTTACTGAATGATGACTACAATCCAAATTGGAATATCAGTTCTAATTTTTTAGCAATAACTATAAAATAACTTTGGAATTTTGCAATAAATTTTCACCATAAAATAGGTATAAATACCTAGAAAACAGTACCTACTGTACCATCAAAACCTCAAGAAACTATCAGAGATAACTGGACACAATTGGCATAATTATTAGCACATGGCATAGCTTGGTATAGGCATTTTTTTATTTAGTTTATAGATATAATAAATATATATATGTTGAGACTAAATAAAACATCAATACAAGAGTGACTCTTAAAAATAAAGTGTATAATGGCATCTATACAGATAATGGGTTTGTATAGTAAAATCAACCTTATTGCGATTAAAGAAATACATGATATAATCTGTTTTGTTGCCAGCGAGATATTAGGTTGAATTACAATGTATGAATGAATTAAAAAAAATTACAATGTTGAATTCAGGCAAAATGTTAATTGTGCATTACTTAGACCAGCAGGCAATAGTCGACAAAATTGTCCATGCTGCCACAATGAAGCAGTTTGTATAAATCAAACAATTCAATTATATTAATAAAAAATTCAGTATGTATTAATGAAAACAATTAGAATTCGTGAAAACAATAATTTGTCTTTCAAATATTTATCTACCCAGGCAAAAATAATTGCCAGAATCTAGTTTAAATAAGAATTTTCACATGCAAACAAAATAATTCTAACCCTAAGCAAATCATTATCATAGGAGGCTTCAAATGCTGTATTTCAATGCATAAAGTTCAATTATACAATGAATATATGTATATACAAATTACTCAAGGCTACTATAAATGGTTACTACAATTTGGTATTGAGATCATATTTCAAAATTTACTACAATTAGTTATTAGTTAATTAATATTAATTAATTAATTAATCAGATATTAATCTCTTAACTGCGGAGTGGCATGCTATTAGAAATTTTAACATGCCTTTTAAATGATATATCATTGCAATATTTTCCTGATACAAAGATATATAATTTTTGTTAGTCAGTCCTAATCAAAATCTTCACTGAACACAATAATAGAGATTTCTTTCAAAAACACTCAATTATACAAAGCTTGCGTGCAGAAATGACAAAAATCAAAACATCAAATGGTGATTAAATGCTTATAATTAATGAGTAGAACTCAAAATTCAGCAAAAATATTGGTAGCAGGAATTAAAATACAAGCGTATAAAAATAATAAAAAGCAGCAAGGTTATAAATACAGAGCAATGACAGCAATAATACGAGGACAATAAAAGCATATCAAGAATAACTTACTCCAGGATATGTAGGACTTGTAGGGGAATTTATATCCTGTAGGAAAAAGATATACAATAGTGAGAGGCATGAGGCTGGTAATGTACAATAGTGAGAGGCATGAGGCTGGTAATGTACAATAGTGAGAGGCATGAGGCTGGTAATGTAAGCTTGGTACGAACAATAGTGAGAGGCCACAGGCGCTTGGTACGCACAATAGACTTTGTGTAGGGTAGGTTTTGTAGTATGAAAACAAGCTATTCTGGCTGTGAAGCAATCAAAGAATAAAAATACACCAGCATTTCTGAGCAACCCTTTGATAAAACGTGAATAAGATGCTTAACGCACTTAGATTTTTGTAAATAATTGTGAACTGGTCACCTGGCATTGTGCCCAATGTACCCTGACAATGAGAGCCCCACAAATGAACCCTGATTATTGTCAGATGAGAACCCCACACAAATGAACCCTGATTATTGTCAGATGAGAACCCCACACAAATGAACCCTGATTATCTAGAGATGAGAACCCCACACAAATGAACCCTGATTATTGAGAGATGAGAACCCCACACAAATGGAATTGGAATTAGGCTTCATATGGCTCACTAAATAATCATCTCTAATATTCATCAGGATATTATCAGTTGAAAAGGATTAGCAACAAATTCAGTTCCCATTACAAATAATTACTTAAAAATACAGAGATTACAAAACCTTTTCAAAGTGGTACTGAATATTTGAGAATCACTTCTGTATATTATACAATAAGTGAATAACTTTGATACAAATTACTACCACTGGTAGCACCATTAGTGGCAGTATGACTACATTTAATACCATATTAATCAGAATTAAAACTACCAATTTAATAAGTATTAAAACTACCAATTTAATTAGTATTAAAATTACCAATTTAATCAGTATTTGAACTACACTAATAGCTGCTAATTTGCATGTCAGCTGAAAAACTAATATTACCACTAATACCATTATATACTCTCAAAGAATAGCTGTAAAATATACCATTACTTCACATTAGCCATTATCTCTGTAATTATCAGTACCATTAATGATAGTTACGCTCTGTAATATAAAGATATTATGATTACTTTAGAGCACCACTAGCAGTGAAGTACAGGTCCACAATGATTACCATCACCATACAAGTCTGTTACCTGGTCACCATCAAGAGTGATGGTGAGTTCTTCAATGTTATTGTTGGGTCCACGCTGTGGAAATACCTTGTGTTTCAAAACTTAAATAAATAATAATTTAAATATTTGGAAATATTTGGTCAAGATTGAACAAACACTCAAAGAAATTATTGAGACTAGTCCCTAAAAAGAGATGCACATTTGGCTCTTGTAGGGTCATTCTAGCTGACCTAGTTTGGCCTGGCAAAAGGGCCTATCTTTAAGGATAAAATTTCAGTTTTTCAACTACTTTGTGTTTGATGAATTAAAAATTCAGGACTCAAGAGCCTAAGTTCATAATAAGGATAACTTGCACACTTAGAGATACCGAACAGCCTAATTATACTTCAATATAATTATATTATGAAATGATATATTATATATCATCAACTTGATAATAAATAGATAAATACTCATTAAACTTATACAATTAACCTGACTTGTCACACCTTAACTAAGCTCATGCAATTCAGGGAATTATTTTGTTACCTCAATTCATTAGTTAGTTATTATACCTATATTCAATATATTTATTATTATTATTTATTCAATGTGGAGCTTCTCCTCGAGCTATTGGGGTAACCACTTTTCTTCAATAAATAAATAAATAAATATATATTGATCAGTTTGAAGAAAAATATGTGCTTATCAGACTTAAGTTCCATGAGTAATAATACTCAAAAATAATATATATATATTATTAAATAAAAAATTATTAATAAAAAATACACTCAAAATAAAGTTACCCAGTGTTACTGCACAGTTCTTCAGTCCCGTAAAATCCTAACAGGCCAGCAAGCTTCTAACAAACTAAATCAAACACAAATTTAAAAACCATGTCCACAAAAATCTATTATTTGTTATTAATGTATTGATAGTGATTATAAATGACCAGTAATCAAGAGAACAGTTAGATCAACGGCAGCAACAGAGAAACGTCCCTCACTATAGGCTAAAAGATCATGATTAATGATGGTTATCGGAAAATATTGTAATAATGAGATAATCCACAATTGATAATAAGTGACGCCATAATCACCAGATCAGCAATACAATAATGATGCGATAATCACAAGATGAGCAAGATAATCGTCAGCAAGAGAAGATGCTAAATGTCATATTGATCTAATCCAAAAAATATCTTGAATTAATATTTTGATGAAAATTTTGCCATGCATACAGTTAAAAAATACAGTTAAATAGAGTTGAATATATTTTTACCCTCATACTGTCACACAGCATCAATTGATAATCTACCCTATATCTATATTCCCTGTGATATTGATCAATTATGTTATATTATTAATAATGGCGCCATGGGAGCGTCAAAACGGCATGAAATTAAAATATTCAGTCTGCTTGAACTGAATACAACACATACATTATATAAGACCTCCAATATACAGCACACACACAAATATAATATACAACATACCCAATATACAACAAACTATATAGGTACGGCACTCACAAAATACAACACACATAACATTCAACACAGATAACACAACATTCAACACAGATCACACAACATTCAACACACAGATCACACATCACAACATTCAACACACAGATCACACATTACACAACATTAAACATACACATCACACAACATTCAACACAACACACATGCCAAACACTCACGGGGTCGCCGGCGATGCCTGAGACGCTCTGCGCAAAACATACAACACACAACACACATCACACACAACACATCACACATCACACACCACACAACACACACCACACAACACACACCACACAACACACACCACACAACACACACAACACTCACGGGGTCGCCGGCGATGCCTGAGACGCTCTGCGCGAAACATACAACATACACCACACAACACACACAACACACCACACATCACACATCACACACCACACAACACACAACACTCACGGGGTCGCCGGCGATGCCTGAGACGCTCTGCGCGAAACGCTCCTTGGCCTTCAGTGCGCGCACGCGCTCGTTGCGCAGCCGCTCGTCGTCCTGCGCAGGAAACGCGCGCGCGTCAGGGGGAGGGGCAAGAGGGGGTATTTATAACTATACATACTTCATAATGATTTATATGGTAATATAATATAATATAATATAAGGTAATATGATATAATACTATCAGATAATTTAAACTTCATGATATAAGTATGAATGAGATTGATGCAGATGTTAAGCTATATATACAGTATACCTATTACCTACGTAACACAAACTTCCCGAGGAAGGCAATTATACAATATGTTATACCGTAGGTACCTATATTATAATAATATTATACAATAAGTAAAACATTAACCATCCGAGTAAGGCAATAACTAATAATATAAAAACATTTATAATAATATTATACAATAAATAACATTTATAATATTATACAATATGTAAATAACACATTAATCACCAGAGAAAGGCGATAACTAACAATATAATAACATTTATAATAATACTATACAGTAAATAAGACATTAACCACCTTGAGCAAGACGATAGCTATTAATATAATATTTATAATAATATTATACAATAAGTAAGACATTACCCACCTTGAGTAAGGCGACCATAGCCTTAGCCTTCTCCCTGACGTTGATGCCCTGGTCCTTGCCCTCCTCGATGTACTGGAAATCCTTCAGAGTGGAAATAGAGTGGATGTTCTCGCGACTTTGTTCTGCCACCTGCAAGCCAATCAATCAGTGATTCGTTAATCTCCTACATGCCAATCAATAATAATTCGTTGATCTCCTACATGCCAATCAATCAGTGATTCGTTGATCTCCTACATGCCAATCAATAATAATTCGTTGAGCACTCTATCAATTTAACCGGCAAGCTAATAAATAAATAATTCGTTGAGCACTCTTCCAATTTAACCTGCAAGCCAATCAATAATAATTTGTTGGACACTCTTCCAATTTAACCTGCGAGCCAATCAATAATAATTTGTTGGACACTCTTCCTATTTAACCTGTAAGCCAATAAATAAATAATTTGTTGAGCACTTTTCCTATTTAACCTGCAAGCCAATCAATAATAATTCGTTGAACACTCTACCAATTTCACTTTCACCAGCAATTCGGACGCATCAATTTTCGCATCAAAATTCAAACTCGACCCGATATTCAAGGAAAGTAACGCTAATTATCAGGGACAGCGCTTTCAAAACTCGCTAAGTATAAGTAGCGGCCCATTTGTCGTCTGCCATTGGTTGGTTTAGCTTATAAAGCTGTCACTGATTGGGTGACGGATTTACGAAGTCTTGAAATTTTTCGATAGTATGGCCTCTGTTTTTCAGATACGAATAACATTCACGCAACGGTTAAGAATCTGTAGACGTAAAGGTCAAAGTAGAGGCATATTTATTGGCTTTATACTTTCGACTTCATCAGTCAATTATATTACTATATGTTATAATAGTGTCAGCTTTGTATATGGGCATTTTGACCTGTAGCAGCTTCCTTACCTTGACGAATTTGACTATATTTTCACATCAAATTTCGAGTCTCGAACCCTAAACTCGCTGCTTCAGTCGATCTATCCAGTCGGCCACCCCGAGCTATGATCAGCCCAATAATTATGTTCATAATCCTAAGATTAAAAATATTAAAACAAACTAAACATCAAGTAAATTCACATCTTTACCGAAAACGTTTCGGAGACGAGCTCCATTATAAGTTCAAAAATCTAGAGAATGTTGCTAAAATTAGAAAAAGATGACGGAGCCGGTTTCTGAAACGTTTTCGTTCAATATATGATGAATTTACAAGGCGTTTTCTTTGCTTTCAAATTCTCGCTAAACTCGCGATATAATCAGACTTAAGATATAAGTACTTAATCATACGCTGTTCGCCGGCGTTTTAGGGCCCCTTGAAATAAATATAATACTATTGAAATAATAACTTGTCACCGTTTTTTTTAATTAACACCTGAAACTCGAAGAATTATAGTTGAATTTTATAAGACAACCGGCCACTAAAATGCCAGTCCGACCGTTTCTTCACTTTCTTCACGGTTTATGATAATATACCTATATAATATAATATAGTAATAATACATATGATATAATATAGCAATAATTAGGCCTGACCTTCTCACTGCCGGTCTTGATGAGATATTCCAGCAGCACGAGGGCTTTGTAAACATGCCGCCAGTTCTTGCCATGATCGTTGAGTCTCTTCCAGACCATCTGCATGATCTCTGAGAACGCCACCACATTGTACGTCAGATCTGCGATCTCTGACATGATGGTAGAGGATGGGCCCCACGGGTCATTACTGGTCGCCTCCCGCACTTTCACCTGCATCAACAGAAATTTTTTTAAGATGAATGGCAATACAGTCAAAATTTGCATTAGTACCTGTAGCAGCCTATTTAGACATGAAAGCCCAAGCTCACGTAGCGGCCTCAGTACAAGTAGCTGCTTAGGTGCACGTAACCTCTTAAGTATACGTAGATGCGTCAGAATACTTACGTAGAGGCGTAAGTACACGTTGTGGCCAAAGTACACGTAACGGCCAAAGTACACGTAGCGGCCAAAGTGCACGTAGCGGCCTAAGTACACATAGCGGCCTAAGTACACGTAGCGGTCTAATTTCACATAGCGGCCTAAGTACACGTAGCGGCCTAATTAAGTATACACGTAGCGGCCTAAGTACACGTAGCGTCCAAGGCACACGTAGCGTCCAAAGCACACGTAGCGGCCTAAGCACAGGTGGAAGCGGCCTAAGTACACGTATAGCGGCCTAAGCACACATAGGGGCCTAAATGCACGTAGCGATCTAAATGCACGTAGCGACCTAAATGCACGTAGCGATCTAAATGCACGTAGCGACCTAAATGCACGTAGCGACCTAAATGCACGTAGCGACCTAAATGCACGTAGCGGCCTAAGTACACGTAGCGGCCTAAGTACACGTAGCGGCCTAAGTACACGTAGCGGCCTAAGTACACGTAGCGGCCTAAGTACACGTAGCGGCCTAAGTACAAGTAGCGGCCTAAGTACAAGTAGCGGACTAAGTACACGTAGCGGCCTAAGTACACGTAGCGGCCGCAATCTCGTAGAGATAAGCTCAGCTTGCAGAGCCGTCAGACTGTATATGTATATAATCTCACTATAACTTCTGATATGCAATGTTTGTTCCTTTCCGGCATCGAATAACGATATCAATAACGGATAACGACGAGCTTATTATAACTAAATAATACATAATAGGTTCGCTATAAATAATTTAATCGATCAAAGTTGGAGAAATAATAAATTAGTAGTACACCTACCTAAGCGTATTAAGGTATATGCAGCTAAATAAATAAGTATAATATGCCTAATTAAGCGTATTGAGTTTGAGAGCTAGATAAAGCTAAATCAGCTTTCAAATGACTGTCATTGTTCTTTTCAATTCATGCCAGCAATTCATGCCAGCTTTCTGTTACTTAAAATTTAACGTGAACAAAAAATGTGGCAACTAAATTTTATGAATATATTGCGGGTATTTATGCAGTATACATTGAATTTCGGGTTTACATTCTGGTACACATTGAATAGTGTCTGCATAAGTAATAAAACGTTAACACACACACGCACAACCATACATGATCCTAAATGGGCGACCACTCACACAGCACAAACACCTATAGAAGTGTCAGTAATACACACCAGATACACGCACTACACGATACACGCACTACACATCAGGTATACATGGAGGCTCAATGTCCAAAATAATACACGTAACATTGATACGCCTTTCGCCGGTTATACATTCTTATGTGACTCATCCTGAGGTCCTAATGCCTCAGAGTGAGTCACATATAAACAAAAGTGCATCTTTATTTGTATAAATTCTCACTTATTTGTATGTGTGTACAAACCTGTGCATCTGTGTAGTTGTGTGCGATGTTCTTGATGTTGCGCCGTAGTCCCGACACGTTCACAGGTAACGCCATGATGATGAAGGGTTACTTGCTTACAATTCCGTCCTCCTAACCCTTTACAGGCTTATTATCTTCTCGTATTTTCTTCTTTCTCTTCTTCTACCACTCCTTCCTTCTTTTTCGTCCTTCTCTGGTTCCTTCAACTCCGTTCGTCCCCGCGTTCACTGCGTTTAACGTGTTCTCTTCCTATCCGTTTATCTCTATTTCGTTTCTCTTTCTTCCTAAATAGTCACTTTTTTAAATTTTGTCACTATTATCAAGTTTCAAATCTAACCAACTCACATTCCTTATAATTTAACTGTCACTTTTTTCAAAAAAATCAACAAAGTAATTTTTGAATTTTTCACCAAATCCTGTCACTCAGTTACTACTAGACGTAGGGTTTACTACGTATGAACAATTTTCCTACGTTCAGTAAACACAGAAGAAAATGAGTATCAACACAAGCGCTCAAACTATTCCTGTATATACACACACAAAAATAAACAACAAGTCTTTTGTGTTCAAAATTAATACACGCTAACTTAATGCAAAAAGTTTACACAAGCAGTCACCCGATCATGACGCATAAGATTGATCTTCGGGATAAATTATATAATTTAAATAAGATTATTTTGACAGGAGTGGTAAATTCAGCCGGAAGTGAAGAAATGAATAATCTTAGTCTGTCAGGAGAAAGTTGATCAAAATTCGACAAGAATAGGACTTGTTAAGAAGACACGGGAGAATTCACACATACATACATTGCTGGACATATTTGCATACATTGAATGATATTGAAATTCATTGATTGTCTAATGAGAGTGATACCTTAAAAGCTGAAGCGCTATCAAGTCATTATACAATTGTTATTATTGAGATTAAAAATATTGAGAGAAGGTATCTTACATCGTTACTCAAGCAGCTGTAATAAGCTGAATATTACTCATTAAACTGAACATGTATCTAATACAAAGAGATTTTTGAAAGACAACAGTAAACAAATCAACATGGACTCGGCTAGGGACTAGAGCTGATCGAGTTGAACGTGCTTAGGAATAGATTACCGTCTAAATGTTTCATTTCAGATGCATACTTCTGATTTTTAACGGGGCGTTAAAGAAACCTCGAAAAGATAAAGGGCGTTTAGAAGAAACCTCGAAAAGATAAAGGGCGTTTAGAAGAAACCTCGAAACGATAAAGGGCGTTTAGAAGAAACCTCGAAACGATAAAGGGCGTTTAGAAGAAACCTCACAAATAGGGCCATAAGTAATAGACAAATAGGGCCATAAGTAATAGACAAATAGGGCCATAAGTAATAGAGGAATTGCCATCAATACATCAATTGCCAAGTACAATCAGTAAGGTGGAACTGCCTATGAGCTGTCAACAACTGGAAGTGGCCAAGCCAGCAGAGGCTTAGCAAGGCACCTCTACGGCTTCAGCACATGCACGTTGCACGTGGCAGCAAGGAAACTTAGAAACAAGCTTATGTCCTGGAATAACTCAGCTGATTCAAGATTATGTTTAATGAAGAAGGAATGGAAGAATGCCACTAATATTACAATCAGGGTGCATACTGGTATTTAGAAAAATAATTCCATGACTTTTCCATGTCCTGGTTCTAGTTATCTTTGAACATTAACTGAAAAGAGAGTAGTTGGCACAGCAGAACTAAACTTTGCCAAAACATGTACAAGATGTGTATCAAACCTACCCATCCACTTGTATTTTTATTTGATATCACAAATTTATTATGAATCCATTTTTCTCCGCTGGTTCCAAATGGAACCGCTTGGCATTAATGGTTAACACACGCAGCACAGAAAAAAACTTCCTTTTTTCTTCATTTATTTGCAAATTCCATGACTTTCCATAACCTGAAATGAAATCCCATGACTTTCCAGGCCTGGAAAATGAAAAATTGAATTCCATGACTTTCCAGGTTTTCAATGACCGGTATGTACCTTGTACAATGGATAAATGGGTACAGGAATTATAATATCAGTCCTACCCAGCATCAGTTTCATGTAGATGCTCAATAATCATTACGGATATCAATACAAAGTACGTCGAACAAAGTACGTCGGACGATTTCGAACATTTTTCATTCATAACTTCTTACCAGGAAACATTTCATAAACAAGTTTAGGCTCATTTCAAAGCTCTTTGCAAGGGCTATCACATGGTTTCTCAAAAAAAAATCCATATGCTATTCGTAAGGTGCCAGAAGCAAAAAAAGAGTGTCCCGAGTAGCCCCGTCGAACGGGGCTACTCGGGACACTTGGAATAAAACTTTATTTTAAAACATTTGAAGCATGCAGAGTGTGCTCATCCATTACTAACAGTACTCTGAAGCCCTCCTCTTTCATTGTAGATGATGTAGAGGTAGAATAAATGACATTTTATGTGATTTTTACTTGCTTTTCCTTTATTGATATGATATTACCATAAACACCATCAACTGGGGGTGACTTATGCTGCGTTTTTTATTTCGTTTTGCAAACAAAAACGGGGTTGTAAATGCCGGGTTCATAAACGCCAGGGTCGTAAACAAGGTCATAAACGCCAGAGTGACTTTGGCCATCGTTTATGACCCCGCTTTTGTTTGAAAAACAAAATAAAAAACGCGGCCAAAGTCACCCGGCGGCCGAAGTCACCTTAGTTGACCCTACCCTATTATTGATGTGATATTACTGTATTATTGAGCAATGGCAACATGCCATTGATCATTTACAACAACCTTGTCCACTGCAAGCTTCATATCAGCAGCCTTATAGCATTTTTTCTGTATTTGTAAGCTTACAGGACAGCTTGTAATTTCACACCATTTTATTTGGGTTAAGTGAATTTACTATGAAAAAAATATAACTTGGTACTCACTGCAGTGAGTGACAGAGAGCGCATTTTCACGTTGATGAAAACTTGAGGTCACGGACGGACGGACAGACAGACATGGCGAGCACAATATTGCATTTTTTCCATAAATGAGAAAATGCGCTAAGAAGATCATGAAAAACATACCTGAAACAGAAAGGAATGTTCTAGTGAAATGTACCATGTTTTGGAGAAATAAATCATAGTTTAGGTCAATTACTTTTCATTCTATGATGCCTGGTGCACAATTCTAAATATGACATTGTTTGCACAATTTTGTGATGACCGATGATGCACTAATTTTTCGATAAGTGAACATTTTTTTGCTCAGCAAGGTAAATGTAATCAATATTCTTTGTTTTTAATCAATTTTTTTCTTAACTGGAGCCTTGGCTAACTGAGGTTCTACTGTAAATGCGCTTTTTTTTCCCGAATAGCCTCGGGGGGTGTCTGGAGTAGCCCCGCCATGCGGAAATGACCGCCATTTTTTTTTTAATGAGATAGGCAAAATCTGTCAATAACGTTCTCAAGCTGACACCTGGGTGCAACTTTTATGCAAGTAAAATTTTTTAATACGGTGAATATTTTTTTTACTACAGACCTTAGCAGAAGTAACTTTACAAAATATCGTTTTTCACCATTTTTTTCAGGAATTTTTCAAAGCTAGTGAATGTAGTATTTTTGAACTTCCTTTATACTACATAGATAGGAAAAATGTTGGTGTTTACGCCACTATATTTAGTTTTGCAATATTCCAATTAGTTTTGCTACTAAAACAGTTTTACGCCGTGTCGGAGGACTGTCCCGAGTTACCCCGCCCGTCTCTAGTAGCCCCGGTTGACAGTAGTTACCATTAAAATATGTAGTTATTTTACTTTAAATCAAGGTTCTTTTCATTTGATTTTCAGCTGCACTAAGGGCAACTGCTTACTCTCTACCTACCGTACTCCTGATATTTTGAGAAGAAAACTTCTGCACAATATGCCAAAAGTAATCTTCCACTCCAATGTGTATCTGTACTGGTTCACTGGTTCCAGCCAAAGTAAATTATTTCACATATACTTATATATATATACCTACAGGATAGTAGGATTTGGCTTAATCAAGGCACATCTTGACAAGAAAAGGGGCTGCACTATCAAAACTTGCTTGGTTTTTTTTTCAACACCTATCAATTGATATTTCATTTTAGATAGTGATGACATTTTTATAGAATTAGTATCCACTATTATGATTATTATCTAATGTGCCACTAAGATAATAGGTTGGTATTAGAGTGGCATCATCAGACAAGATTAGCAACACTGCATCACTCTCTCAAACCAAACCTTGACTGATAGTTAAATCAATTAAACCTGAAATAGAAGTAGTACTAGATCCAATTTCAAGATGATAATGGAGTGTAAAATAATAACCCATAAATATATAACAGAATAACTTATGGGTTTGCCACATAAGACCACATGTCTTATGGCCTAAGACATGCCAGCCTGCAACATCCTCCAATATCCGGTTCTACTGTTTCAACCTGGAATGCTGGGCAAAATTTTAAAAACTATCATTTCACAAGTTCTTTTCAGAAATTTCAGGCAAATATATGCAGTCACTATTTTTGTGCAGGTGGCTACTGCCTGATTGTCTAAAATGGCTCTAGTACACCCCAGGGTTAAAATTTTCTTACTGATGTGCCATAAAAGGATAAATTTTCAATATATTTTGAATCTTGCAGCTTTATCATGCACTTTTGTTAAGAAATACATAAGAGGGATTTTTTAATCCACCAAGTTTTTAGTCTAGGATAAGAGTAGGTTATTGTAATTTTGTAAACATTATTGTAGTCTACAATAATGTTTGTGAAGGATGGAAGGCTTGGAGAACCTCTTGGCATCAATTTAATTAAAATTAGTTAGCCCTTATTTCATTAGCTGAGATTTAATTTAGTAATAAATATTTATTTAGCAGTATTTTCACTTTAATAAACAATGCAAATTTTTTCTAAAAATTAACAATTGCAAACTAGTACCTATGCAATATTGCCAATAAGGTATGTATGGTATCTTTCAAATTTTAATGTCTTTGCATTTGTTTCTGCTTTGGAATTTTTTTCAAATACTTTGCAGAATGCAGACTGCATTAAATCATGTTAAATCAATCAAATCAAGTTAATAAGCAAATTTACAAAAATTTTTTTGGTTCTGTTCCACTGGGCCAAGCATGGAATACTTGGCAAGCTGCAACTAAATTTTTTGAGCTGTGGTTTTATGGATTTGACAGCCATGATTCCATTTTTTGAGCCGTGAATTCCATATCTCGGCCATGAAAAGCCATTTACAAGCCACACACTTATCTACAAAGTCTGTGAATGTGATACCACAAATTTCTAATTTTACCCTGAAACAGTCAAACAGCAACAATAAAATTTGTCTTTACTGTAAGCTGAACATGTGCTAACAGTGTTAATGTAGTCTGACCGCTCTGACGTGACTGCAACTATGTGCGATCTGCAACAAAATGTTTAGGTTGACGTTGACTTGTTATCTTTACAATGATTATGTTCTGCAGGATATTTTGGCAGGAGCATTAAAGTAATGAGGATTGCAGAAGTTGAAAATTTCATGAAATAACACGTTTGCAAAGTGTGAAACATGATTTTTTCAATCAAACAAAAATACAGGACAGTAGAGCCGTGAGATAACTGAGATTTCATACCTACTAGCTAAAATTATATGATGCTAGAGCCATGATAGGTATTTCAGAAAAAAGTAGGACATTTCCCAACCTGCACTGGGCCACAGTGACACTATTATTAAAAATTCTCTGCCTCAACCCTCAAGTCAGTCAATCTAGAAACTGCACAATCAAATCAAGGTGCTTTAATGGACAGTGTCACAGTGTCATAAGTGTCATTCATCATAACTATACAATTACATTCAAGTATTTGCCTTCATTAACTGGCATAGGAGCTAAAAAAATGAAATTAATGAGATGTTATAGAAAAATTACTTGCAGAGATTTTAAAAATTTTACACAGTAGGCCATAGTCCTCCTGTCATTATACTATAGGGGTATAGGCTACCTAGATTATTTTTAGAGAGAGCTTTTTGGGGTATAATTCTAGTAATTTTTAAGGCAAGAGGCCCAGAACTGGCAGATGATGTACAAATGATTAAGTGAAATACACTATGAATCTAATATATAGTTCATATCAAATCTTCAAAATAGGAAAAATGGCATAGTAGGCCTAATGCCTAATGGGTATTTAGGTATTGTACCTAACTTTTTTGCTTGAACCTTTACTTTAGATTTAATCCAGCAAAAAAAAAAACAGCATAGGCATAGCTATACCTATATTAAGAGAACACAATTTGGTTTTTTCAACTGAAAGCCATCAAACTATTGAATACTTTATAGTTTATACCTACTCATCCCTATCGACATCTTGTAGTATCATGACATCAGATGATCAGTGACAGACCGTTCGGTTAGCGAAAATCTACAATAGGTTACTACACAGTACACACTCAATCCGAGTCAGAATGTTGCCGACATTATGAATGATTAATTATATTCACATAAAAAATCACAAAAAATCATTCCCAAATGACTCATAGAAATCTATTCCTACCGATAACGAACACTCTCTGCGAAATGCTGAGATTCACAATAGCCGTATCGTATCCAGTACAGTCATTGCGACCGGGAGATATCAGTGTTCAATTCGGCTAACTACTATGAGCTGTGACTGTAGGAATTTGCGGAAAACTCGAAATTATATTTATATATACATAAATTGATTTAAGACTCCCAGGGTCCCATTTTCTTCTTGAATAGTCATTTAGAAATATGAATAAGAACTATTTTTAGTACAATGATAATTTGAGATATAATTAGTTTAACGTTTCGTGATATCGGCTTTGAGTACGTGCACTTCTACCTACAAAGAAAGTGTGTCATGCTGCGTTTTATTTCTCAAAGAAAGTATATAATAATATTGATATATTGTAATAAATTTTATGCCTTGAAAATAATACTAATGTTTATCTTAACAGATAGTAAATGTTGTATATGATTCCATTATTCCAGAAGAAATTTATTCAAGATGCTTCGCTAAGGTCAGCAATTCAAGAGACATTCAATAGGATAATTATGTTGCAATTAAAGGATCACTGTGATTTATTCATCAAATTTCATAATATACAAGCGGAGGCATATGACGCAAACTATCACCGAGATCACCAAGTGCTGTACTGAAGTGCTTCTTGACTTCAATGAAGTCAGCTGACTACCTTTTTAATTTTCTTCCCGGAAGTACAGACGAAGGAAGTGACCACTCCTCAACTTAGCTTGGGTGCTGCACCCTCTCCCCCTCCCAATCCTTCCCATCCATATTATTTCTTTCTCCAAACATACATATGTAAAACAGTAAATGGTCAGGTTCATATATACAAATAAGGTAGAAATTACCATAAGATCAAATGAAAAATGTAAAATTCGTACTGAGAGAAAACGAAATCAAAATTTCTTTACTACATGCACAAATTCACTAAAATATCATAATCGAATCCATTTTTATATGTAATAAGTTGATACACGATATAGAAGCAAAAAAACGTATCAAATGAGTGTATCATTCAGCTCAGAAATCAATGAATAGAATTTTAAATGAATCGCATTCATGCCTGTTCAGCATGCAAGTAGCCGATAGCTTTAGATTGTTATACGAGTTGTAATTAAACACAGAAAGTTCCTCATCATCATAAATTGCGATGCTATTTATTAATGAATACATTTATTGTATGAATAATAAATATTCTATAACAATTAATTATTGCATTAAAATCATTTTATTATTTGATGAAATATTTTATTTTCAATGAAATATACAACGGAACGTACAACAGTTATAAACTTAGTATCAAACTGAAGTAGGAACAATTTGTTCTTTATGCAGTTTATGGAAGAATTTTTTTTTGTGAAGTTTAAAGTATTTTTTCGTGAAGTTTAAATAGATGTAATAGCGATTATATTGTTCGCATAGAGCGACTAGGTGTTTATGAAGACAATGTTAATTTGTGTATAAGGGTAACAACCCTTATAATAATTATAGCATAATAATACGAAACTATCATTGCAACAATTTTTTATGTAAAAAATATATAAATGTGCAGTGAAGATTGTGAGTCGAATTGTCATGAGTAATGTATATAACTTATATATATACGAATATAATTAAATCTGGTTTATATTTTATCATATGAAATCTAAAAAAAAAGCAATAAAATTATAATTTTATTTCCGATAATTTTACCTAAACTGAAAAATAAAAAGAATATCTTAATAGACAATATTAGTCATAACATAAAGTTCAAGCGGTTTCAATAACAAACCATATAAATATTTCAAGATGAAAAGTGCGAAATCATTCATCATCAGTTCAACACTACTCAACAGGAAGTTTAGGCTATAAATAAATACGTGAATTAAATTCTTTAAATGCGCGAATTTTTATTATAAATATATTACCGTTTTCTCCCACATTAATGATTTTTTATTATGGTTATATTAAGTACTGTTTCCTTCCCATTCACAGTTTTATCGGTGAGTCCTTTGACAATTAATATCAATATCATTAATTTATTATATTTCGGGAATATCCTAATGGGTATATTTAACTCACAACTACTACTTAGAAATGGTGTTAATAAATGGTGTTATGTAGGTACAATCAAAACCTCATGTTGCATGTTTTACGTGTACAGAGATAACTCCTGTAAGCGTCCACGTCCTGTCTGTAGAGGATGTTTTCGGAGTTTTAGATGCAAACAAGACGTTAAACGGTTGTCCACGTTAAAACCTATCTTGAACAAAGCTTCAATGACATTTAAATGTAAATTTTAATCAATATCTTAATTAATAATCTGAATTATCAATAGCGGTGTTCGTATATAAAATGGCAGAGGGAAGCCATTTAAAATAATTTGTTTAACATATGTATATGATCAAGTTTAGAACAGTTGTCTTCTATAGCGAAATGTCACTAGACCTTTGCGTTAATAAATTCAAATGAATGTATGAATCACATATTGGATGTCATTAGATTTAGAAGTCGAATAAATTTTGAATTGAGCCTCTTAATTTTTATAAGTGACTCCTCTAAATCTTAAGCAATAGTATTAATCATTTAGGTTAAGTTATTTTTACCGTGACATGACTTAGTGTTTAATAGTATCATTATAATCCTTATAATTATCAATATTATTGTTATAATTTTTATTGTTATTATAGATTTATAACCTTTATTGGCCGTCTGCGCTTTGTAAGAAGTGTTAGATCATTCAAGTCGAGATTGCTGTATGAGTATTTTACGACCTGTATGATCATTATTTTCTTGGAACATACATGCGACAACCGCGATTGCATCATATTCTAAAGATAAAGACCGGAGCGTGCGTGGACACCGTAGTCCGTCAAGCTTCATTATCTTAATATAGCGATGCCTGCTTTACTGAGGCAATTTTGGCCTGATTCTTAAGCATCCGGCCACATTGCTGCTTTTGAAATTTCCGATTTTCACAACTTATTGCTGGTTTCGAACCCATAACGCGATGCCCTAATCTAGGTGATGTCTTTAACCACTAGGCTAACCCAAGTAAAAAAGTATTTTTCTGCTATTTCGACTCTCGTTGAATATAATTACAAAATAATGGACTATTGTAGCTCCTAATGATCAATATAAGTCCACAATAAACTCGACTGATGCTAGATTATTACAAACTATAGAGCTATTGTAGCTCTCAATTATACGTACAAGCTTCCTGCAATCCCGAATGAGATAAAAAAGATTCTTATAAGCTTATGAACTAATATACAGCTCCTAATGATATAAATATGTCCTATGCAATCCCGACTGAGGCTAGAAAATAAAATCGGGAGCAAAACAACGGAGCTATTGTAGCTCTCAATTATACATACAAGCTTCCTGCAATCCCGAATGAGATAAAAAAGATTGTTATAAGATACAACTGCAATCCCGAATGAGGTATAAGATTCTTATAAGCTTATGAACTAATATACAGCTCTTAATGATGTAAATATGTCCTATGCAATCCCGACTGAGACAAGAAGATAAAATCGTGAGCAAAATAATTATATACATACTACAAGCTTCCTGCAATCCCGAATATGGTATAAGATTCTTAAAGCTTATGAACTAATATACAGCTCTTAATGATATAAATATGTCCTATGCAATCCCGACTGAGGCTAGAAGATAAAACCGTGAGCAAAACAACGGATAAGCCGCCAGACTTGGGCCCTTCATCCGTCCAAGGGAAGAGCCGCTATATAAGGCCTAGTGGTCTTGTTTCCGTCACACAAGCCTTCACAATAGACAAACACTGCAAGAAGTTGTCAACAGATTCGTAATACGACTTTTGGTTCACATTCAAAGTGAGTACATTGGTGTATTATGTAATATTATTTTCAAATTACTTTTCTATTCTCATGCCCAAAAATGATAATTTCTTGCTAATTCATTACAAGCATGTCTTGAAAATGAACATTAATTATAATTTATATTTCTATATAATTTATAGATGATTAACATTTGTTCAAGAAGAATCTTCATGCATCTAAAAACTAATCGGACAGAAAATTCTCATAAGTTGGAACTGTCATTAATAAAAACTGTCTGTAATACAAATTGTCAGTAATACGAACTGTCAGTAATACATAGTCAGTAATACATAGTCAGTAATACATAGTCAGTAATACAAAATCTTGCCATGATAATCCGTATCTAAGCCTGCCACTGTAAACGTGATACCCAGGTATATCCAATCACATGGATGATTGACAATGCTATTCCACTCTGCTTATCATTACATTCATTGATAACTGATCGTTCATATAACCGGAACATAAAATAAATAAGAGTTTATTCTTAATCTCAGTTGACATGTGATGATGCTTCACCTACGTATTTGAAAATAGTATTTCAAATTTTAATATTAATTACATTCAATAATTGATACGTTACATAAATCTGAGAGTTTGAGGGAAATTTAACCCTGAGCTGTTCCATATAATCCAAGGGTTACAAACTTATGAAACGAATACCACTGTAGGAACGGTTTTAGCTCGAGGTATGAACGAATTTCTTTTGGTTTCAGCGTGTAAAAAGTATTTTTTAACATCTCAAAAGTATTTTTAACGTCTCAAAAGTATTTTTAACGCCTCAAAAATATTTTTTAACGTCTCAAAAGTATTTTTAACGTCTCAAAAGTACTTTTTAACGTCTCAAAAGTATTTTTAACGTCTCAAAAGTATTTTTTTAACGTCTCAAAAGTATTTTTAACGTCTCAAAAGTACTTTTTAACGTCTCAAAAGTATTTTTAACGTCTCAAAAGTATTTTTTTAACGTCTCAAAAGTATTTTTAACGTCTCAAAAGTATTTTTTAACGTCTCAAAAGTATTTTTAACGTCTCAAAGGTATTTTTTGACCTCTCAAAGGTGTTTACTACCGAACTCAAGTTAAGCTGGCAAAGATTTGCCCCAGACCACTCATCAGATCTTAGCAGCCCACTATTAAATTCGAACATTAAATTTAATGCGCTAAGCTTTGACGCTATTTGATCAAATAAAATCTACTGAAATTGGAAATACGTAGTCTTAATTAGTACGAGGGTGCCTAGTAGTGAGCGGTCGCTGCACGGAACCTTTTACTGACACGCGATCTAAAAAATAATCGAGAAAACCTGAAACTAATCCCAAAAAGCTAATAATATTTACCAATCTGAAAGGCTAAAAATAATTAGATGCTAAAGAGCTATTGTAGCTCTTAATGACAATTACATCTCCACTGTTTCCTCGACAGATCTGCATTGAAACACCCTGACATTTGTTTCTCCTATTGCAGATGGCGACAAAAGCAGTTGTGGGCCTCGTGTTGCTGGCCATTGCGGTTGCCCTGGTCGCAAGCAACGGTTTAGGTTACAACCCAAGCCACTACCCCGGGCTTGTCTCCGGCTTTGGTAACAACTTTTTGAACTACCAACCTGCGGCTGGGTACGGCAACTGTAAATACTGGTGCCGTAGTCCCCACACTCGCAAGTACTACTGCTGCGACAACCTCAATGCTGGTATCTACGGAGGTGGAATTGGTGGTGGACTTGGAGGTTTCGGTGGCGGACATGGTGGATTCGGTGGCGGACATGGTGGATTAGGTGGCGGACATGGTGGATTCGGAGGCGGACATGGTGGATTAGGTGGCGGACTCGGCGGTTTCGGAGGCGGACATGGCGGATTCGGTGGTGGATATAATGGATAAAAATCTATCACATAGAAGCATTCAGTGAATATGGAGAAATTTCAACGGGATATCATGAAAAAAGCGTCTTCCTATTAGACTTTGCTACATAATTTAAAATTCACAACTAAGAGTTTCTTTTTAACAGATGGTTGTCATCATCGTCAATTATTTGTCTATATGACAAATGATTATCATTTAGATCAATGATACGAGAAACACAACGCTAACCAAAGCATAGAAATCAAAATAATTAACGATGCCCAATTTATGTATCATGCACATTAGTAAATGATTGATATGATGACCTAAATTAAATGATAATAGCCTGCAAAATTACAATAAAAGTGTGAAAGATGCTCTTCTTATTTTCCTTTATAAAAATTAGATGCGAAACACTGCATATATCGCTTCCAACACGTACTGCTGCTCTGTTCAACTTGTCCATGTCCAGAAAGTTAAACTTAATCGCAATTTTTATTTTTCGATGAAATTTCGTAATCTGAATTTTCCGTCGTGGCTCTAGGATTGCGTCTGATGTGGAAGTCCCTAGCAAGTTCTAGAACCATTTTTTCTGATGACTAGGACTGCGCGTTTATGGTCTTTGGAGTACAATTGAAGAAAGCGCTTAGATCGGTGGTGATAATTGTAAAAAAACAGACTAAAAAGGACGCAAAATGAGTAAATATGAACAACATTTTTCCATTATAAGATATATTTATATTTTTACTTAAAGCACATACATAAATGACAAAATAATATAGCTTTCAGACAAATTTCATCAGATCTTGGGCATGCTGAGAAAAATTATGCAAATAAACTTAGAAAAAAGCGATAATTTCAAGTCATTGAATATACTTCAATTTAATAATTTTATATGAATGACAAAAAAAAATAATATTTACTCATAATTAATACATTATATAACAAACATAACATACTTAAAACAGAGTACTTAAATTATAATTTTTAACGTCCTAAATTTTCTGTGCACAAATAAAATAATGAAACGGAGCTAATTAATTTATACATAGTATACATACACCCTTATGAAGCTGATAAGCTAAACCCTTTATTGTTTTTTTTTTCAAGAAACGGTAAGGAGAATATAGCGCCTAAGGAGACACATGATCAACTCACCTCCAGAAAAGTAACATTAAGAGTCAAGTAACTCGTTACCCTACGTTACGTTACTGTGTGTACTAGTTACTTAAATGTCATACAAATAGTCGAATTAATGTTCATTATGAGTTTAAATCTCTGAAGAAAATAAAACAAATAAAACAACTTTTAAAAACCACGTTTTCTTAACGGACAAAAAAGAAAAACATTTACTCTTACATAACATTTAAGTTATGTAAAATGTTATGTAATGTTATGTAAGAGTAAATGTTTTTCTTTTTTGTCCGTTAAGAAAACGTGGTTTTTAAAAGTTGTTTTATTTCACAGTTTTTAGTTTTGTAAAAACCAGAAAAACGTGGTTTTTAAAAATATTTTCTATATTTATTTATTTTCTACTTTTTAGTTAGCAATTTTAGCAATTCAAATCAATTTCCAGGGTTGGCAAGTGTGGACGTTTGAGAAAAAACTAAATTTCAAACCGTGAATTTTTAGTGTTTTTTTATTTAATTTTTTTTAAAACAATTTTTAATTATTATTTCTGATGATCAAATCTTGAATTGTTAGGCATCATAATTATGCATGCCAAATTTCAACTTACTAGGATGTTTAGAAGTGCTCTAAATTAAGGTTTGAATTTTTGATGACAGACACACACGAAACGAAGCCAAGAAAAACGTGGTAAATAAATAGACACAACTTATCTGCATTCAGCAATGAAAACACATTTCTTGAACCACAATTCGAATAAAACCTAATAACTTTGAACGGATTCTCTGAATTTATATCGAAGTTATAAATACGTCAGCAACTCCTCCTGGTTTGCGGTATCCATTTTTGGCAGTAATGGAGAATTTTGGATAATATAATATTTTTAAAAAATGGCAACAAATCGCCAAGTGACAATCATAATGGAATGAATAACTGTCGTATTCGAGTTCATGAACAGATATTATTTATATAGATATATTATAATCAACCAGAAAAAGTAAAAAAGCAACTTGAATAGTACAATAACGAATCTAACGTCTTTGATGAAAAAAGTATTATTCAATAAGGTAGGTATAGAGGAGAATACATTTAGTAATGAAGATAATTTTCATGTCAACTTCACATCACGTCAATATCATCTATCTTTTTTGTTTAGATTCAAGCATGGAAAAAATGCGCGTAAAGAATAAATAAATAAATTTTTTTTCTGAGGTGAAAATAAATATCACTGAAATACGTAGGTACTACTTGGCTGAATATTGCATATGCAAGCAGAGAATTTACAATCTGAAAATAAAATTACAGGTTGAAGGGAAAAGAACCATAGTGAAATATTGGTGAGTGATGCAAGCCTATTTATTGGGATACTTGTAAATATGACAACAGCTTTTATAACTAAAATATGTTTACTACGGTAGGTACATTTGATTGCTATGACAAACATAACACTTCTACAGTAATGAACTCTTACAATTTGAAAAGTGAACATAGTAAAACAGAACAACAACAAGATCTTTATACGCTACTAAACGTCTTTATCACAAAAAGATAATGCTTCTTCATGCAACTTCAGTAATAAATAGCATAACATTCGACCGTTGCCAAGAGCAACGGTTAAATTGACAAATTCAACCGTTGTCAACGGTTGCCTGATTTCTGGCAAGTTTCGAGGCAAATTAGGATGCCTCTTGTTTGGCGTGATCTCCTTCTGGTGCTGCTTCAGAGACATTTGTTTCTGTACATGAATGGAGGTCAGGACCTAAACTAGACGCTCCTTCTAGTTCATCATTATTCTTATCAGCTTTTTGTTCACTAGGAGACTTGGATAGTTTCTGAACACACTTATTTTTAGCTTCAACATTTGTTGAAGCTGGAACAGTCACTCCACTAGCAAGCGCAATTCCAGAGCCACTCGAAGTAGAGGCTTGGGCAGGCATCAGACCGGCAGCATTGATGGCCCTGGTTGGTGGAGGGGGTGTGGAGTGAGTGCTGGTGTAGGTGGTGGTGTATGCATGGTGTAGAGTGGCTGCCACCAGTTCCACGTCTTTGTGGATGACTTGAGTCCAGCTCGCAACGTCTCCAACTTGTTTTAGAGCAGAACAAAAACCGTTTACCTGTAAACAGCAGTAATAATTACATTTATCCTCAATGCAAAGGCTTAAATAGTGTCACACTTGTGATCAAAAGATTTTTAAATAAAAGGTATATGGATGAAGTTTAACAATGCCATTCAACAAAAAAACATAAATAAATATAGATATTATACATCCTTTTTAATAGACTCTAACCTCTTTTTCAAAAATAAGAACAACTGTGAATTAAACTTTATCACTATAGCATTAGCTAAACCAAAATCTTATATGAAATCACCAAACAAATGCCATTTATTCACAGGAAGGACCCAACATATTTTTTTCATCTGACTATAGTGCAAAAATATGAAGAAAAAGTTATCTAACCAGAGTGATCCAATGCTGCGTCTGCTTCTGGAGCACAGCAGCACTTTGCTCCAAGCGTCGGGCCTCTCCATCAAGACGTTTTTGGTTCAGATAAGCTTGTGCTACTCTGTAGATTATAAATACTGTAAAAGTCTTGATAAAAAAAAACTATATTTATAACATAAATACAATGCACTGTGAATTATATCCAGAGTATAGAGGATAGGTAATTTGCTGTGCATTTTCTTATAATAATAATTTCTTATAATAATAAAATAGGATATAAAAGCATTAATGGAAATGGAAATTTCTGACGATTTTGATAACTTGTAGTCTTAAAATCAATAATAAAACAGAATTGGAGAACTGATGCTTCAATTAGATGTATCTTAATTAATTATTATTAACTTTGACCAAATAAAAAGTTAATTTAGATGACAGTTTGTTAGATGAGATCATTAATTCAGAATGTGCTCAGATACAAAAACATAATGATTTGAACTGGTAAAAATACAGGGATATACTGGTTTAAACAGAATAATACTTATGTACATGTTACCTATATTAAGAATAGGTAACAAAATAATTTCATCAACCTGCATCTAATGTATCAATTATGGTAGTTTCATAATTAAAATTATTAGAAACCCAATACATTTTACAATAATAAAGACAATACAAATAGTGTCAAGTTTGGATAGGCATGATATACCAGGGATCACAATAGAACTATTTACAAAAGAGCAAATCAATCAAGAGTGAATGAATGAAGACACCTAAACCATTCAGTGCAATATACATGCATAGACCACATAGACATAAAGCTGAAGTGTTGAATGTTAACCAAAACATCTTGACACTGAAGTACTTTCAATGACCTGGATGCTACAACACAACAGGCTGCATGTGAGAAAGAGGCCTAATAAAAATTCAGTTATTTTCCTCACATTAGGATGTAAATTAAACTACAGAATATGGCCATATGTACTTGGGAAAAAATTTGTATTCAATATTCTCAGCAGATAAATTTGATTACAAGTAAGTATCAATAATTTATTACTGAAAAAGCCATATCCTAATCCTTGAAAGATGTAACAAGATGTGACAAGAGCATGATATTTTATGAGTTTGAAATTTCCAAGTTGAAAAAAAGTGAATTTTTTAAGGTTCATTGTTAATGTTATAGGTACCTATTCAGAATACAAAACAAAACTCACCCAACATTTAGATGATCAACCAGAGCATTTGTAAGGTTGGTGCTAGCTTGTAAGGCATCTTTGCGTCTCCGTTCTGAAATGAAAAATGGTTCAAGGATATGTTGGGACACTTTTCTGTTGATAAATTCCCAAATGGTAAAGCAGAGCCCAACCATATTTGCAAGAGATCTTGCATTTTTCTAGGTAATTCTATAAGTCTATCCCTATGACTTGGTCAACCTTGTCCAAACTGGAAAATTACTCAGAGGCCACCCATGAATAAGACCAAAATCTTTTTACAGGCAGAGATTTTGTTTAATCAGACCTATTTATGACCAGGAGACAGTCAAAATTGAAAATTTCACTTGCATGACAGTTGACAAGACATAGGTACTAATTTTCATAATTTGATGGAATAGGGCTTACCCATACTATGACCAAAATATTAGAAATATCTATGGAATCAATTTTCCAGTGTTCACTAGCATATTTCATCCAATTTAGAAAATTTTATAGGTACCGTACTCCTTGTATGATTTTATCTGGCTTCATACTTTGTACAGATTTTGATTCCAGATTGCATTGCCAGACACTGCTGACAGCCAGCAGCCTGACAGGGTTCAAATATATAAAAATTAATATTTAAGGCATCCTGCAGAAATAGTGGCATTTTTCCCTAATAAGTGGTGTATTCAGTGGAATTTGAACAGGCATTTCAATTTCTTAATTATCCTGTTTTTCTCAGTCTCAGGTAAGGGAACCAGACAATCATGCTCATAGCCTTACCATAATTTCTTTGGTAAACATTAAAAAATGGCACATTTATATGAATTATATCTGTAACTTACAAAATGACCTGTGGAATTATCCCATAATTTTGGGAAAATTTAGTTAACCCCATATCTCAGAATACTGTAAAATTTGAATAGATTACCTAAAGATGAAAATAGTCTTAACTTCCTAACTAGAATATTGGCCAGAAACCACCTGTGAACCAGACAAAAAGACCCACAAATCTTGTTAATTTAATCTGTTCCTAATCCAACTATTTCCTACATCATATTACGGTTATTACCCAGGTGAGGAATACATCTATGGTCTACTCAGTGAGCCACAAATATAGCCTTCCTGCCATTCATTGAGCAGCAAGATTTCTGTCTGATGAATGATCTCCTATCTAATGCTGATCAACCGTAATTGTTAATGAGTACATAATTGTTAAAAAAATTGGTTGACCAAGCTGCAAGATTTCAAATTCATTATTAATATGGCACATTGGAGCCGCTATATTTCCGTAATAAGTACTGGTAGGACTTTTCCAATCCTGCTATCACCCTTGGAGGCTTGGACATCCTATGGCCTTTTCTCAATTTCTCTGGTAAAAAATACGAAAAAATTTCCATTTCCCTGGACACTAGTAATTTTAAAAATTGTCTGTTAACACATTGACCACTGTGCAGAGAGTGGATGAATATTGCAAGATCTTTGGCGACGCTTCAGTAGCAAAATTTACGCCTTCAGAAGATCTTGCCGACACATTTAGATTGAAATTCTTGCATTTAATATATTTGTCAGTCTCCAGCCAACTATTTAAAAAAAAGTAAGGTTTCCGATATGTTGGATAGATCAGGATGCAGTGAAGCTTGCCCGAAATTCAGTTATGATAAGTTCCCGCCAAAAAAAATGTAAACATCAAGCTTATGATTACGTAGTTGCGGTCACATTAGAGCAATCAGACTGCATTATCACATGTTCAGTTGACACTTGCTGTACAATCAGACTGTTTTTAGGGCAAAATTAGTTATTTGGGGTGACACGTGCATGCAACCTTGTAAATAGCTTTTCATTAGGGTAAACGCGGTATATTCCGTCATCGTGGGTAATTCCGTCACCTCTCTAGCTTTTCCTTTATATTTAGCTTTGTTTTAGTTCCATGCGTTTGTTGATGGTTGAAATGATGACGTCATACATTTGTGTGTCAAACTACTGCCAAAACACTAGGTCTTGGCCATCTAGTGGGAAAATATTGAGATCAAAAGAGAGACAATGCACGCTACCCAGTGACATCATCAAAAAATGTGTCAAATTTGACAGTTGACCTTGCTGTACCAAATAGTGAATAACTGTATGTATAGGAAGAATATTATGGTTTGAGACTTTTAAATACGTCTGTGAATATATTAGGAATCCTTTAAGTACCTATATAGTCAAATGGGGTAAGACAGGATCGCAGCTTTCATGGGGTAAGAAAGGACCGGCCCATGACGTGCATTCTAACTGCACTGAATTTAATTTGATGAAAGAATATGTTAGAGCAATCATTGCCTGTCATTTCAGTGTTTGTTTCAACCCTGTTCTGCAAATAATGAATTTTTGGTTAATTTTTGAAAAAAACCTATGTAAAGAAGGGTCACAAAATAGTTAACCCTATTTGGGAAATAAGCTCTGTCTGATTCCAAANACCTGGACCCTGGCCTCTCAACCTGGACCCTGGCCTCTCAACCTGGACTCGGGCCTCTCAACCTGGACTCGGGCCTCTCAGCCTTAATGCTGGCCTCTCAACCTGGACACTGGCCTCTCAACCTGGACACTGGCCTCTCTGCCTAGACATTAGCCTCACAACCATGGCCCTGGTGTCTTTGGCCCAACATCCTTGATGTTTTCTCAACATCAAGGATGTTGGGAAAACACAAATTTTCTTTGAAATTTCAATCTCAAATAAGGCATTTTTTCTAAAATACTAGAGTTTCTTGGAAGTTTCTTGGCCAAACTTCTTAAGGGGAGCATCTACCCTAAAATTGAAAATTTTCACTTTTTCAGTTTTTATACTCATTTTAAAGCTGACATTCTGCCTTATCCAATGGTACCACTGCCATATCTGTACGTCGATTTATGATTTCACGACATTTCATGAAAGGGGAGCGGGTTGGGGAGTTCTTTAAGTAATTAGATAGGAACTAATTAGCTGCTGAGCTCTTTAAATATAGTGTCTACTTGAGTTGTGCTGCAGTTATGTTTTTAGTCTCATCTTGAAGCTGACATTCTGGCCTATCCAACGGTACCATTACCATCTCTGTACGTTGATTTGTACGTTCACAACACTTCATGAAAGGGGGGCGGGGGAGAGTTCTTTCAGTAATTACATAGGAGCTAATTCGCTGCCCAGCACTACAAATACAGTGTTTCTTTGAGGTGTAGCTCAGTGTGCCTCCGGGCTTTGAAGGGAGAGGTGCGCATGTAGTCGCTCCCACCATCCTTGAGTGGAATCAAGCTCCAGAAACATTTAGTTTGGTATCTATGCTACATTGAGCACATATTGCAGTGCGCTTGGGACTTTGTTGCTCTCTCCTCAACATTCACACTTATTGTCACGGGAAACCTATCTCCTCCTAGAGTTTTGAAGCTACAACAATGAGACATATACCGTATCATTCAATTTGCAAATAAACTATCTACAAAATGTTCATCCCGGTTTTTCTAGTTTCAATATAGTTTGAATTTTATTCTGCAAAGAGGGGGGTGGCGGGGGGAAAATCAAAAAATTTCTAAACCTTTTGGAAAAATGCCCCCCACTTCCACAAAAATTGGAATTTCAAAAAAAAGGGATGAACATTTTGTAGATGAAGAACTCACGCATCGAATGATATGTGTCTCGATGTTGTAGCTTGAAAATCCTAGGACTAGATCCATTTCTACAGTACCCCTTTTATAGCCGTTTTCTAAGAATTTCACGTTTTCTTTCATTTTTTTCGAAAAATTCACACAAACAAAATGCGAGTTTTTTTCCATTTTACATGTGTACCAAGTTTCAGAGTGATCCGACTGTAAATAGCCGAGATAATTTTTAGGGTAGACGCTCCCCTTAAGCCCATTGTTGCTAGCAAAAGTAATGTACAAAATGATAATTAACTATGCCAGCTACATAATATCATCCATATTTTGCGCTCAGAAGACTAAATGGATCATACCGTCGTGTTTAATGTTAGGATCTCGTAAGACAAAGTGGACTGAAATGTTGCCTTACATTTTTCAATATACAATTTTCAATGTTCCATACTCATCTATACACTAGGTACTTAGTAACTGGAATCACTAGAAATTATAACAAAAAAAATTTATGCGCTTAAAAAAATGTGGTCATTAAAGAGTCAACAGTTTTCTCGTGACAAAAACTCCAAAGTGATTGATAAATATCAATAGAGTTGACATCCTGCAACACAAAAAAAAGTCTGAGTTGTAGCTTAGAAGCCCATTGCATAACTACACCTTGTGATAGGTTTAGGGTTTTTTATTTATTCATGGTATAGATGCTACATGCTTGTTAGAGATTTCAGTCCTGTCTTACCCCATCTGACTATACAGGATGCCAAAGTTGGCACCGTTTCACGGCCGAACGAATGATTTTGAGAAACTCGCTTGATAACAGGAAGGTGCGTCTGAACGCATTCTATTCGATGATACATTTGTTTGTTCTCTACGCCTCACACAGCCCAAGTAAAATTGAAGATAAAATAGAAGTTAAATCGAGGACGCAAATCCCGTGGATTTATAGCATTTTTAACTTAGCCTTGGGCGACCATTGTACTCTTGCGGTTGATCCTAAAATATCTATACGAAATACACGTTTTAGAGAGAAATGTATAAAGACATAAATGCAGATGTATCAGTAAACAATATTTTTTCCAAGTAACTTTTTCCTCTAACCGCAGCCATTTGGCGACCAGGGACGAATAATAAAAAAACTGAAGATGCATATAGAAGCGGAAAAATCAATTTAATGGGAAATTTTTTATACCGATCAAAAGATCTTGTTGAGATACTTCTTCTTGAGCATTTATATATTTTCATGTCATGTATGATGATCTTTTTTCAGACACACCTAAACTTTTTTTGGTTTTCAACTCTTATCTGAAAAAGTTGCCAAGACAATTGAAAAAAGCATCTAAACAAGTGTTGAAGTTTGTAATAAAACTTATAATTTTGAATTAAAACTAATCCTCCAAGTCAAACGGTTGCGCTGCCAGCACCTCTTGAGTGAGACAATGTTGAGCGTTTTTTTCAAAAATTTTTGCACTTTTAACCAGCTGGGAGAAAAAACTATATGTTCGATTTTTCCCAAAAATTTGTTTTGGATGCACCAGACTTGAAAGAATATTTTCACTCGATATAATGAAATTAATCCAACAGTCCTTCAATAATTATTAAACTTTTTGTACAATGCATTTTTTAAACTTTTTAAATATGGGTTGTACAAAAAATGTATTTGTGATAAAATGTGCACCCAGGTCCAAAAAGCTTGTTAACAAAATTTGAGGCATGGCTTTATTAGAAAGAATTTGAGAAAAAAGTAAAGTTCAGTTTTTCAGCTATAATTACCGGTATTGAAATACACAATAAAACTTTCTGGTTCAAAAATTTTAGATAGTCCCA